GAAAATGTAGTAGTTGATTAGGAGGGGACAAAGAAAAAGAAAAGAAACAGAGAAATGAAGAAAAGTACTAGTAGCTACTAATTTGTATAGTCTTTTGATGATCTTCTCACCCGGCCCCTTTTAGAAGAATTTTGCAGGAGTTTTACAATAAAGATCTATACTTTACAATCCCTAATATGTCCATCTATTCTTTTGTCTCTGTTTTTTGGGTTTTTTTTTTTTTTATCCTCAGTGTTTACATATATGATGAATATTTTCCTTGTTTTGCATTTCAAAGGGAAAGTTGAGTATGTCGATTTCACTGTGAAGTTGCAAAGAACTGGAAATGGAATGAGACAGTAGTTGTAATATATCCTTTTTTACAGAGGGCATTTACTTTTCAATACTGGTAATGGTGATGGTGATTATGGGTGTCAATTTGGTACGAACTACAAAGCTGAAAGCACAGAAACCGGCTAAAACGGATCTGGTCTTTCCTTTTTTTTTTTTTTTGGTTTTACCATCATATGTTTCAATTCAATGAGGTAAAGCCAAGGTAAAAAGAAGCCAATTAATGGCCCTATCAATTAAAGCCAAAACTGCCAAATTCAGGTAGGTAGGAACGAATTGAAGGGATAGCAAAAGAAATGACTGGAGGGATAGTAAATATCAGGAACAGTTTTCACATTTGTGGGGGAGGGGGGAAGAGGGCACTGGAGTTAGGCAAATGGTACGAAAACACATCCAATCAATCTCTTCTACCTGGGCTATATAGAAGCTTAAGATAGGCAATTAGGACAGGGCAAAAGGCTAATGGAGCTCCTCCTACCTAGGATGGATTTTATCTTTCTCTTGTGAAAGCAGCAGCCGCAATAATAATAATACATGTGTCATTGCTTCAACTGCAGTGGGCGTATTGATAAATGGATTGATAAATGAAGAAGGCATTGAATCTACAGTGGAAAGAGCCTGTGTTTGTATTTTCTTTCTATGGCGTGGTAGTAGCTAGTAGTACCTGGGCAGTAGGGTCCCCTGATCACACGACTCTCATGAGAAATTCTGCACCAGTCAGTCTTTACTGTGATTGCTTCTGATGCCCAGGTTCCCACCCATTTATTGCTCCTCCTGCTTTTTTCTTTTCTTACTTTCATCGTTTCAGGCTTCATCTGATGAAGACGATGATGATAATAACCGTCACCAGATTGATTGAAATGAGGGGCCTCCTTTTGCACATCTGTTTTGTTGACAATATATGTTAACGTTACGTACTACTACTCCTCACTACTCCCATAGCCTCAACTGGCATTTCTTACGTTAGAATAGTAAAGATTAAAAAGAATTGAATTCTATTTACAACTTTACTCTGCTCAACAACACTTGTGAAAAAAAAAAAAAAAAAAGATAGTCAAAAAAGTCAAACCATAGTTTTCAACTTCATTATTCTCACTGATTCCATCTTGAATTGAACATTTTCTTTTCTTTTTTTTTTTTTGTCAAATAGTAACATTAAGACATGCCGCCCGCCCGTCGCCCCTTACCGTCCAATGCTTCTTGAAACACATTACGACCTTAACCATAACAATTTCGTCCATAAACTCATAAATCTTTGTTTTGTGGATTGAATTTCACTTGATTCGTCTACTATATATATTTCGTTGCCTAGTACTAATACAAAAGCCTTTTTGGTACTATTCACTTGTAAACCTTAGAAAACTGCTACTTCCGTTCTAAAATTATTATCTAGTTTAGATTTTACTTTTCGTTCAATCTGTACTAACACTGAAAATTCAAATTTGACAATAATTTTGGGACAAAAGGAATATTTCTATATTACTACTTGCGGAACACTTTCTAGTCGTTGAGTTGAAGTGCACGACTCGAGTGAAAGCTCCTGGTAGCTTCACTCCAGAAATAAATTAAATATTAACACTAATCTTTCAAGCCCCCAATTTTTACTCTTTCAAGTTACTTAAAGGCCATTTCATACAGTTGTCAATTAATTGATCAGTGTTGCTACAATTAATTTATAACTTGGCAATGGTGATTTCTTTTATCTCAATGCACTCAAGGAAAAAGGAAAAAAAAAAAAAAGGGGATTGTTAATTACTTCAACGTTAACTACTACTCATTCTATTCTGAAGTTAAGTGTTAGTATTAGACAAAGTTCACCCGGATGTCATTAACACAATTTACTCTTAAGGGTAACATTTAGAAATTCTTGACAAAACATTAAATGGATTAATTAACGAAAATGACACTTATTTTAAAAGATAAGTGATAGACACAAGAAAAAAATGACAAAGAATTATGTGTCAACATCTAAATTATGCCCTAATCTTATGCATAAACTTGTTTAGAAAATTTTAACAATAGATGGGTGAAATCATTTCCTTGTAATTTTTCCTTATCATTTTTTTCTTGTACATATCATTATTCATTTTAAAATACTATCTTTTTCCTTGAATGACACTTAAACAAAATGGAGAGATTATGAAAACTATATCATCAACTTGGACTAGTAAATTAGCTCACATATTTTGCCCCCGGAAAAGTTGATCTTTCATGCCTGCGTATATCTACCATGACTCACGATAGCTGGCTTATATATGTAGCTTGTCTTTTAGTTTGAAAATGAGTTTAGGGATTAGGACATTAACTATAATAATAGTATTAACTCAGAGAGTTGCCTTCAACCTAGGATGAGCTAATTAAAGGCCAAATAAACATGATCTAAAAATATCCCTGAAAGCCAACAACAAATTAATCCAGAGATTAGAGTAACTCACTAAAAAAAGGCTCAAAATGAGTGATTTGAGCTTTTTCTTGGTTTGAAATTTCCAAATTATCAAGTTGCTTCGATTCATTCACGTTGATTAATTTGTTAGTATTTTGCAAAAAAAAAAAAAAGAAGTGGGGTTAGGGATCATGATTATACTGTTGATTTGGATTTTATTAATTAAATTACTTAAAAAGATGAATGATGATGATGATGTGGTTTACGTGCGAGTTTGCCAAGCTCTCTCCCTCTCATTTAACGTTGTAAAAGAACTTGTACTTTGATATTATATTTTCCTGTTTTTCTGAAAAGGTCTCCCTATATATTTATTTTTTTATAAAAAAAAAAGGCTAATATATATTTAACAATTCAATGCACACGTTCACACTGTCAATATGATATCATCAACAGGAATTGATGAGGAAAGTATTTTCTTGCAGTTTGAAGGCGGCTGGAAACTACTATTAATTTGATTTTTGGTTCGGCAAATCAACTGAAAAAAAAAAAAAAAAACTAACTAAATTCTTTACTAAAATCTTTTTGTCGTGCAATGCATAATGTATCCGGTAGTTAACCAGAAATTTACGAATTGATTGGTACCCTGATATCATTTAATTTGGTGATTAGTATATATATAGTCTTCCATTCGGTGGCGGGACTATTCTTAGTTATTAACCACAAAAAAAAAGCGACCATTAAAATTGATTTCTATAATAAGACCAATGTACCAAACAATTTACAACAAATTAAAAAGAAAAAAAAAAAAAGAGGTAGAAAGAAAAGTTGGAATGTTTTCGAGAGTCAACAAAGTGGCAGCCGAGAGTGATTTGTTTTCTCCTGTGTTCGTTGCAGCTGGCCCAAGTTGAGCTCTGTTGGCAAGGCTTTTCGAGGTTTATACTTTTTAGTATCGGAGATTTTTTATTTTTTATTTTTTAAAAAAAGGGAATGAAGCGAAAAGAGGGTAAATTGTTGTTGTTATATCTGTACTTATATTTTGTTTCATTTGGCTTAAAATATTGAAAAATACAGCGACTTTAATTAATATAGGAGCTGAAAGACGTGAAAAGTTCTTCTCCATAGCCGGCTCATACGAATTATATATATTTAAAGACAGGATAAAGAATCATATAATCTTATAAGCAAAAAAAATAAGAATCATATAATCTTTCCATCTCATAAAAAATAATCAATTTGTTACAATAATTAATTTAATTCAACAGAACAATTTTATTTTTTTTTTGGAACAGATAGAGTATATTAATTCTCTTAGAAAAAGAGTTCCAACTTTTGGACATTAAAACAAGATATATCGAAAAAGAATTGAACAAAAGCACTATATATACAGTGTAAATTACCCAAGGTGTTGATATGAATTTATGTTTGCAAACCACACTCCCTAAACGAATAATAGATCTAACGTATGCTGATCTCGCAGAATGTCTGGCCAGAAGAGCATTTTGAATTCACTAACACTAAAGTTTCGATTTTTAAGTTTTACAGTTACATATGATCACTTTCCAATATCTTTTACGAAAGTTTATTGAAATTCATGTTTAACGTTTATATCAAACTTTCCAATATCTTGTACGAAAGTTTATTGGAATTCATGTTTAACGTTCACATCGATCCCTTTAATAAAACATACATATTGATATAGGTAAATTTATTTTGAAATTGAAAATAACCATAAACAAAAAAGAAAGAAAATAGTGGTATCCTCCGGCTGTCCGCATAACTTTCAGAAGAAATGGAATGGGACTACTAGCCTTATTTTCGGTTCATTTTTGTCTCTTGCACGCTATAATTTATACTACTACTACGACATAGGAATATGGGTTCACTATCTCCCACGTATGTCAGTCAGATTAATCGTCTGCGAGTTTTAACAAAATGTGTGTACGGCTCATCAATCAATCACAAGAACCTGCAGATCTAGCTATTATTTTGGGAACAACACCCATTTATTGTGGTAATGCGTTTCAAGCAATTGTTTGCAGTGGCTGCTAGGTTTCAGTCTTTCAGTAAGTTATATTCTTCTCTTCACCGTCTTATTTTAATTGTCCATATTAAGGTTTTACATGTAAAAAGTCACCAAAAAAAGTAAGTGATAAATATGCGCATACGATATGGAGAAGTATAAGTTACTACCGTTAGGTCAACAAAAATAATTTTGGTATAGTGGGAAACATAAATTTATGATTAACTGAATAAAACAGAGTAAAAACTTTTATTGCAAGTTTTGAAACAAGGGGTAAAATTGTTAAAAAGAGTATGTATGGCAGTTTTAATTCTTGAGAACAGTTGATCCAGTTGGATAGACTAGCGTCAGCGGTAGCAAGGCCACAAGGGAGGATACGGCTACCTGTTAACATTTACAACTACATAATGGAGAGTAATACCTTACTATCGGAATAGCCGAATGAAAACGAATCGGCGAGCTAAGATCAGAAGAGTGAAAGTTGAATTTAAGCCTAACCAAGTGCAATAAGATCGTTTCATCAACATAAGCCAAAAAGAAAGAAAGACTGAAAAACCACAAGTTTGGAATCCACCAAGTTCACAAACAATTTTCCACCATAAACAGCAAATGCATGAGATTTACACCCACCACAAATCTTAAACAATCAAGTGTGCTCGATATTGACACAATTTCTGTCGCCTGAAGCTTAAAACAGATGTTTGACATAGGTACATGACACAACTTAAAATCTACCATCAAAGTTTCCAGGATCAGATTAGACATTCAAATGACCACAGCCATATACATTCTCAATGGAAGAAACTACTTGGGGTAGCCAGTGGGTGGATACCCAGCGGGAGGATACCCAGCAGGAGGATAGCCAGCGGGAGGATACCCACCAGGTTGCCCATAAGCAGGTGGAGGATAGCCAGCAGGTTGCCCATAAGCAGGTGGAGGATAACCAGCAGTTGGGGGATAAGGCTGATCAAGCCGTGACATTTGCTGAGCGGGAGGAACTGACATTACAGTTTGTGGACCAAATTTTCCATCTCGCTTGTCCATTTCAATCTTGTGTTGTGTCTGCAGTACACACAATGTGAACAATTAGGTTGCACAATTGATAATAATCGACGGAGGTTTTAATCAAGGGAATGTTTTTCAGTTCATTCAAATCCACAATTCAATAAAGCACAACAAAAAAAAAAAATGTCATAATGAAATCTGGATCGGTAGTATCAACTATCAAATAAAGAGCATTCCAATTGATCAATCTTCTAGTTACCTGCATGCAGGCGCAGACTCTGCAAAACGAAGTGAAAGTTTGATCAATATTATTCCTAGAAAGCTATGTTTATTAAACAACCACAGGTCACACTAGAAAGTTCTTACGAGCAATAGACCATATCCGACAAGCAGGACAATATCTGGGATGCTTCCGAGAGTTCCTCACTTCCAACAATCATAGCAACAATGGAAAATATGCAAGCGATTTGTGAGAGGCAAAACATGAAACCCTGGGAAACAGAAAGTATGTAATTTAGGCAAATAACAGAAAGCAACATGATTTGTAACTATAAACAACACAATATAAGATGCCAGTCCAGAGAGGAAAAGAGTCTGTACAATGATGCAGTTATCACATTGTGTAGTTTGAATGTTGAATTCATCTTGCAACAGAAATCGGGTAGAAGCAACTGAATTTCCAAAGCACAGAAAAACCTGCAAAAGTGGACCAAAAAAAGCCATTAGTTTGCATGCAAATTTTTTAATTGAAAAGGTCAAATTGAGAGGCAGATGGCATCGTAACATACTGGGGAGGAACCTAGGACACAATTAAACATATGCAGAGATAGCTTGAAATTAACTCTTTTAAGAAGAATTTAAATATGTCAAATTGTGTCCAAGGATTAATCAACCTACACTACAGTTAAATATAAACGACCATATTCATTACCACAGCATATCCATGGGGATATACACTCCTTGTAACTTCAATTATGCGTAATTGAAATGTCCAACTAAGTTGCAAACATAACTACATGATAAGAAATTAACATCCAAGAAAAACTACAAGAACAGAAAAAGGAATAAAACTAAGGAGACATATGAACACGTGCAGAAACGCCCCTTCAAAATAATTTTTTCAAGAAACACTATATAGGACTGGAAGGTGCAGCATTGTCTCTGAGGACCTACAATCTAACATCGCGTTTCTTTCTCTTTACATCTAATTTTCAACCAATGTATAGCATGCAGTTACGAATTTCAAAATTACAAACTCCTAACAATTTAAATCGTCACTTAGATCCAAATGCCAAAACAAAGAAAGAATTAAATTTAAAGCAAAAAGGCAAACACAGCTTTGAAATAATCTTTTGTGAGGGAAGGCAATATAGAATGTAAAGGTCCATAATGAACTTCAAAGACCAAGAAACTACATGATGGCACTCATCTCATTCCGGTTCTTACACATTTAACAAACTCATTATAATATAAGTACAAGACAGTAAACAAGGGAATCTAGAACGCAACCTGATTTGCTTGTTACAGATACTACGAGGTAATAAGATTTTTCAATGAAAAGAAGCCAAAAGAAACTGAATTCCAAAGCTACTTAAATAACTCAAATAGTCTCTTCTCAACAATACAAGAAACTAAAGTAAAACATAAAAATTTTCAGGTCAACATTAAAGGTTTGAAGTAATAACCAAGTACATGATAGAGATTAATAGCTTATCAAAACAGCTCACAAGCAAAGGGATATTAGATTCCAGCTTTATGATATTTTTCCGACTCATATGCCTTTCAAAGTTCATAAGTGTCTGCACTCAAGTTCTTGCAAAAGCATAGTTACGAGGTTACCTCTGTAGCGAGGCAGAATTCTGGGCATTTGCTTTCTCCACAGCGTCCACTACAGGGCATGTAGCCTGCACAGCATACATACCTGTGGCAAACATAGGAAAGCAGCTTAGCAAACAGGAGGTATGATCTGTTTAAATTTGCACAGTGCATAAAATCTTCATTTACCTTGACATGTCATTGTAAAGGGCCCTTTTGCGAAGCATATATGACACACATGGCCCACTGCAGAAAATTTCATAAACAATAAGATATTTCAGATTCACATTTGAAAGAGTAGAAAACTAACTAATGGAAGTATTGAACAGTAACAAGAATATGTAAACAGACTGAGAAATTTCCAACGTCTGATGAGTATTACCAATACCAAACGACATGCATGCAGAGATAACAAAATAGTGGACATGTTGATCACTTATTCGCTGAGTTGACATAAGTACCGCAACATGTACCACTCTTTTACTATCACAAGTACTTGCCAACTGAATGTTTCCCAGTTCCTAAACTAACCTGACCCCACAATACCCCTATTTCAAGGAGTTTCCACGACAATGTCTTTGATGTTTTGAAGGAGGTTCATCTTCTTAATCAGGGAAAATGATAGACATGGCATAATGAGTGAAACTATGACTCTTAACTCCCAGCAAATTGAAGGAATATGTTAGAGAACAACAAAATCCTGTTTCTCTGTCTACAGGAAACATTGTGGGGAAAACTTAATATCAAAAGAGGATTTACCGTAACACACACACATGCAGAAGGAGAATGATAAGATGCTCTTCTTGCAATCATAACAAACCCAGCACAGAACTTTACGGCAGATCCAGACCAATCATCAACTATTCAGCAATCAACTGTGGTTTTATTATACTCTAAACTGAAATTCCATGCCAGGGACATTTTAATTTATTAGTACCCACTTAACCTTAAGCGCAATATTAGCATGGAAAATTCTCAAAGTAATTGATCTTCAATATAACCATGTCCTTCCTAAAGCTTTTCAAGAAAAATATAACAAACTGCACAAAAAAGTTTGCTTCAGAACTTTCTTCAACGGCTAATATAGTCAAGTTACAGCACCAACTGTTGGCCAAAACATACAAAGTACCTCGTGCATTTCTTCATCCCTAGAACACACATTTTGCTATTTCAAATTATACTGTTATTATATCTTCACCCAAAAAAGAAGACGAGTAAGCATATAATGGGGGGTCACTCAATAAATGGAACTAGCAATTTCAATATTTGCAAAACAGTGACTAACAACAGAGTGGCACGATACAGCCAGTATATAGTCAAGCTTATACATCAATACATTAAATAATACAAAAATGATTATAAGGTAAATTATGTTGATTGAAAACATCTCATCTTTCACAAGTAAAAATTGCTAGGACAGCAAATTCAAAGTCAATGAGATCCTAAGGGAAACATCCTGCTTTTATTGAACATAACAAGGTCAAATTTAAACAGAAAGCCTTGAACAAAACATATCAATCGACAACAATAACAACAAATGTCCAACAAAAGTTCAGCTTACATAACTCGAATTAAAATAACAAAACCCCAAAACAACAGAAATTCTGAAATGCCAACCCAGTCAATTCAAGTCAACCACATCGATCTATAAATTCATCTCCAAAATCAAACACCATTACCAAAGTCGAATAAATGTACTTACCACCACAATGCGAGGCAGCAATCTGCACAATTCAAAAGAAAACGAAATAAATAAAAAATTAGTTCTCAATTCACAAAATTGAAATACAAACACACAACAAAATAGCAAAAAATGTGACGAGGAAAGGGGAGAAAAACAAGAAAAAGGAGGAACAACTTACAAGGAGGATCGGCTTGGATGGTACTCATGAGATCGGTGTGCCAGAGATTACGGTAATTCTGACGGAGCTGCATCTTCTCGTACTGTTGGTTCGCCATTTTCGCAGGATCACGTCCTCCTTCTCTCTCACACTCCGATCAAAGAATCGACGGAAGAGATAGAATTTAAACGGACGGAGAGAAAGGAAGAAACCCTAGAAATCCCAAATCTCACAGTGCCAGCGTTTTTGTTGAGAGGTACGAGAAATTGAAATATTGAATGACGCAACTTAGACTGGCAGACGCGTCTAATTGGAGACTGTTTCTTCAGAAAGAACAAAAAGAATTTCGAGAAAATTAAAAAACTATAAAAATGAAAGTCCGCTTTATTTATTAGGTTATTCGGTTGGCCAATTGAAACGCTTCCTTAAGGCCCAGAATGAAAAAGGGGTTTGTTTGTGGCTTTGTGGTTTTGAAATTTCAAAACTTCCAAGAAGGCATCCAGTTTGAAGAAATCACAGCCTCCAGGCACCCTCCCCCCTTTTTTCTTTTTTTCTTTTTTTTTTGAAAACAAAAATTAGATTTTGTAAAAGAAGGGAAGGGTTCTTGTCAAATTTTCCTTTTCTTTCATTTCAAAAGAAATCTAAAGAACATAATTCAAAAAATTGTAGTCAAAGTTTTAAGAATTATTTCTTACATCTGTTTGTCCCACAAAAAAAAAAAAAAAAACCACATTTGAAGAAAGATCTTTCAGAGGTTCAATCATGGCACATTTTTTGAGGTGTTAGCTTGTGTTAATCTTCAGTCATTTAATATAGCAAAGATTAACACTAAAAAAAAAAAAAAAAAATCAAAGGTAAAGAGAAAATTGTTGTTTGAGGTGTTAGCTTGTGTTAATCTTCAGTCATTTAATAAAACACGACCTATATTGTACGAGATTTGTGGAGATGGATACTATTATTATTATTATTAGGAAGACATATACTTCTTGCCCGGACCTCCTCCGGTATTTCAAAGTAACACATGCAGAGATACTTGGTCCAATTTGGCACATCCATGGAGCTCTATGTTTGAATTGACCGGCGCGGAAACGGCATTTCTGGGGTAATCGAACCCTATTTGAGCGAAGAAGTGAGAATGCATTTTTCAAAGTCTATGGAACATCCATTTTAGATTCACCTTGTGTTAAGAGAAGTTTGGGCTTAAATTCATTCATATTTTTGCACTATATTAAACAACGAACTACTGTTGTATTCAATTCAATTTTAGATTCACCTTCTTCCTGAACATGAAAGACACGCTTTAATGTACTTTTAAAAACAACAAAACTACTTGACAAAATGATAAGTATAGTTTGGGTCACTCGTCTTTAGCATCTGATATAGCCCGTGGGGGTATTGGATATACTATTTCCAATCCAGTTTTTTTTTTTTTTTTTTTTCATATTGTAGGATGTTCACCATCGGCAACAATGGGTGGAAAAACTGGCCAAATGATTTAAGGTTGCTCCATGCCCATGTCAAGATTCGAATCCTCCTCAACATATAATTGAGTGTGGAGGAGTCCTTACCACTCCACCACAACCTCATTGGTTATTTCCAATTTAGTTATGACTAGATGAATCAAACGCGCTTCACGCGTACGGGTTTAAAAAAATATGTATGCAGAGATGAGTCATTGTTCAAAGAATTTAGCTCAAACGTCTATAAAATACATCACTAACTATTACTTACAAATTATAAAGTATAAAAGACTTAAAACTTTACTAAAATTAAGAATACATTCATGTTTCTAAATTTTTCTGTTAGAACCAACGTTGTTTTTTAATCTTGCAACTTATCTTCATGTTCGTGATTAGCCAAAACTTGCACATTAAAGTTCCAATTGAGTTGTCAGAAAAATAAATCAAAATAAACTTGCAAAATAAGAAAAAAAGAGACAAAAGTTGGATAAAAGATAAGTAAGAAGAAATGAATAGAAAAATGAAAGATTCCAAATAAAATATGATTCTTAAATAGTTTTAGTAAAATATATTGCAATGGTTACTAAAATAGTAGATGAAAAGACTCCAAATAAATGAAGCAACTAACAAAAAATAATGTATTTAAAAACAAAAGACTAAGGAAGATGAAAAATGCAACTTTCATAAAAAGAACACAAAATGAAGGGAAGATGAAAAGAAATGAAACGTTTTATAATAAATAATAGGAAATGAAAAGAAATGAAAATTTCAGCAATCTCAATTAAAGATTACGATAAATATAACAAGAGAAAAATCAAGAGGTGCACTAAGTTTGGTTTAAAAAGAAAAAAAAAACTTAAAATTAAAATAAACAATAAAAAAGGAAGTATGTGAGAATTATGTGAGAGGATTACCAAGCCCAATCCCATATTCTCTAATTATAATATAGGTTGATAAGTTCTTCACTTGATTAATTATCAACGATTCAATGGAGCCCGAATGTCTGGAATGTTCAAGCCCAACATAATTCATTATGTCAATAGCCCAATAATTTAAGATTAAAAAAAAAAACCCAAACACAAACAAAGTGACATAACCCATGGAGCTCCATTTGGTTGGGAAGGGGTGGTATGGTACTGTACTATACTGTGGTGTGGGACAAAAAAATCAAATATTAATGTTTGTTCGATTGGAACTTTATTTTTTTTGTACAAAATCTAAAATGGATTATCATTTTGGGATATATAATAGATAAGAAATACTCTTTCTGTCCCAAAATTATTTTTCAGTTTGAATTTTTATTTTTATTTCTATTTATACTAAAATTCAAAATCCAAACTAGACAATAATTTTGAAACAGATAAAATATACTTTTTATTTTTAAAACAGATAGAATATACAATGAATGCCCAAATGCCATAAAAGATTGTTTGTTTCACATACTTAATCAGCTAAATTACAAACTCAAACATATTTTTTCCCCAAAGTTATACGAGGGGTGGTGGTGGTTCAATTCCAGAGCCTCTATTATTCGAATTCAGTCCTATAGAGCTAAGTTAAAGTTTAATTGTCACATTATTTGTTCTGTAACTAGAGTTGGGTTTTGACATGCCAAGATTTCTTTTCCCTCAAAAATATTGACATTAGTTGAGCAATGCATTATTATGCTTTTACATCCTATCTCTGAAAGCAAAACTAATATGCAATTTAAAATTTTGGGCACTATGAATAGAGATGCCTAAAACATTAAGGACTAAAATTGCAGAATCTCCAAAATCTTATGTGACTACAACGTGTTGCAAACTAAAAAATCATTACCAAACAAGCAAGATTATGGAAATAGTGTGGTCACTTTAATAGATAACCAAGAATCCGGGACTTTCCGATAAATTCCTTGCTTTATAAAACCAGCAAAGTGGTCTGGTCTACTTCACTTGCACTGCAGTCAGCTCTCTGTTCTGAACTCTGAAACCACCCCCTTTGAAACTTTGGGAGTCCTACTTCATTTTGGCCTCTTCCTCACACAAACACAGAGAAAATTCAGAACCCTTTTTCCTTTTCTTTTGATTGTGGGTTAGTGATAGTGTCACAGTGTGTGTGTGCGTGAGAGATAAAAAGTAAAGATAGAAATGAGTTTCTTGTCTTCTTCTTCTTCTTCTTCAGTTGAAGACAAATGTTCTTGATTAAAGAAAGAGTTGGAGAAAAAACCCATCCATTTATTTTCTTGTCTTTGTTTCAACAACTTTTTTGTATTGGCTCTATTTCCGCGAAAGCCATACTCATTTTAAGGCATAAAAACCAAATCAATAAGCAGGCTTATTTATAAAGGAAATAATTGAGTGGCATCATCAATGGCTTCTGATCTCTTTGTGTTTGATAATACTTTCTTCTCTGATCCATTTTCATCTTTTTCTGACTCGCCCGTTGATCCTCATCATCACCATGATTTCTTCCAAACCTTCGATGACAACAACCTTAATGATCACAGCAGCAGCAGCAACAACATTAACAATACTAGTAGCAGCATCATCAATGAAGAGAATTCAGTTGATGAAACGACCATAACTCTAGACCAGATTGCTTCTGCTCTTCTTTCTTCTTCCCCACCGAGTGATCAGCTGGAAAATCTGTCAATTTGTCAAACAGCCCACCATTTCCAGAATGCGAATCATTCAGATTACTCTGCTCTTGAAGTGAAAACAGAGGATTACCAGTCCTCTTTTGACGCCATTATTACTGGTGGTTTTAGCAGTTCTTCTTTATTGAATACGCCTGAAAATGAAGTGAGGATGATGCAGAGAAGTTACAGCAGTAATTCTTTTGATGGGAAGCCCACTGGATATATTTACCACCCAAGATTTGATAGTCTCATGGAATCTCCCAATTTGCAGACTAATCCGGTCTTTACTCCTTCTGAAACCAACTTTTCTTCTTCTTCTTCTGGTCAAATGAGAAGGGTATGCAGCACTGGAGATTTACAAGTAAGCAAAAAATTGCAAAAGCTCGGAATATATTCATTTGCATGTCCACATCGTGCATGCAGAAAAGAGGAATTTTTTTTTCCTCTTTTGGCTCTGTTTTTTAAGATGGTTTCTTCTTTTCATTTTTTTGGAGTCGTTTTCAGATCATATTCTTTCTAATCACTGTTTATTCTGAACTTTATCTGCAGATGAAAACAACTCAAGCAAGAACTATTCTGTCTTCAAGCCCACTTTCTACAGAAGGGTCATTCATGGAGGAGCCAAACTTCAAAGTTGGACGGTATAGTGCTGAAGAAAGGAAAGAAAGAATCCATAGGTACAGAGCAAAAAGAACCCAGAGGAATTTCAACAAGACAATTAAGGTAAACTCATTACTTCATCTAATCAACTATTTTTATATACAGAAAAGCAGAAATGAGATTAATTTAAAACAGTTAATTGGATCACATGCACATTATAAAGAGATTGATTAATGTGGTCAATCAATTTTGACTCAAGTTTCTGTTTGATGCTCTGCTGCCAATTTTTCAGTATGCATGCCGGAAAACACTAGCCGACAATCGCCCAAGGATACGTGGCAGGTTTGCCCGCAATGATGAAGCTATTGAGATTCCCAAAGCATCATCAATTTTAAATAGATATGAAGATGAAGATGATCTTTGGGTAATACTACTAATATTCTTTTCCTTCTCATTATAATAATGTTAATTAGCTCTGCTTTTAACTAATGAGTAAAAAAAAAAACTTCCAATTTGTTTATACAGGTTGATGGATATCATGAAGAAGATGATGAAGGGTCCTCAGTTTTGGGAAGATCACTTGGAACAGCAATTTACAATAACTATGGATCAGCGCCGTACCAGTACCACCACTATAGCAGCTATTGATTAATTTGACAGTGATGGTTTTTTTTGACCATTTTTACTGCCAAAAATGCCTTTGTGTTTAACTGGGCTACTTCGTTTCAATGCACAAGATGACCATATCATGAACTTTTCCGCAGCAAATGGAAAAGTGAGAAGGGCTCTTTGTTTATTATGTTCCATCGCTTTTATAAAAACAGTAGTAAAAAAAAAAAGTGCAGGCTTTATTGTCAGTAGATGTAGTGGTGTAGTAGTAGTAATCAAGAAGGTTGTAGCATTTTGTAATTTTCCATTTGCAGGGATTTGAATATTTAGTTAATGGTGCCATGTGCATCTCGTTTCTTCGGACTTTCTTGCTCTGTTTTTTCTTTTAGATTTTATTTTTGTTGTTTTGTAAGTTCAGCTATATCTCAATCTGTAAATAGTGTTAATGAATTGAATGACATGAGCCTCTTCATCCTCGTGCCACTAATTTATTATGCTACTTGTATTCCCACAGAGAATGTAACTTTGTTGTGAACTTTTTGATTTTACTGGCGGGATCGAATCCAGAAAAATTATCCCGGCTGGATTCGCTTCCTCCAAGAGTCCGTTGTTGACTATGTCACGATATATTAGGGGTAGCTTATCTCCGTCGTGTTGCATCTGTACATTAGTAGCTTTAATGAAATTCCCTGTTAACCAAAAAAAATATATATGTAATGCGATTTGGAAATAAGCACACTACAAATTTACGTCGACAATTCGACAAACGTGACTCTTATTATGGGACGATCTTAGAATTTTATGTCTTTGGTTTTCACTTGCTTGTTCGGCATATTTCTATCATTGAGTTTTGTGAATATTCCCCCACAAAAGAAGTTCACTGTGCCTAAAGGACATGAGACCAAACCTTTCATCTTCCACTTGGGAGTGAATTGGCAAGTTGATGTTTGACAAGAAATGAGATTTTTGAATGAGACTTGAAAGTTGAATCATCACTTCATATAGTACTTCACAACATACATGACATGAGAGCACATAAACATTAACAGATGATCTGTTGTTGTTTTAGTGACTGAAAGGATACATACTGTTCTTCGCAATTTGCATAACCTGAAGTTACACTAATATCATAGATTGACAGCCGATGTAAAATTAAAGTCATTATCGCTCTAAAAAATAGTCTACTCTATTGATATTATTCCTTTTGTATTAAAGATGGTCTTCCTGAACTCGATAAACCTCACAGCTAAAGCCTAGTACTTATCAACCTAGAAATTCGTGCATAGTGATTGTGTTAACGTTATTTCAGTTGCCGATCAAATCATCCCTATGTACAAGGGTTTGACTCATGACATACAGTCCATACATATTTTTAATTGTTAACTAGTATGTCAAAAAAAAAAATTGTTAACTAGTATTTACCTTTAATTTAATCATTTATTTGACAATAAAGTCTAAAATACAAGAATGTAATTTATACATATGAATGTACAAGAGAATAAAAATTGAGAATTTCTAAACCTAAGAAGTGCCTTTAACCTTTATAGTACTTCTCTGTAATCATAGTCTTCTTTGATTGTAAAATTGACACAATGATGGAAAACAGCTATTTTTCATGGCACCAGTGTGGGATCACTTGATTTGTAAGAGTTTCTTAACACTCCTGCAACTCTCAAGGTTTCCAGATATTATGGGAGCAAATGCCCAATATAATAACAAAAGATGAACCCAAATTGTCAAATGATCTCAAGTGTGATCTGGAAATTGTACATAAATGGAAGGGTTCTGCATTGAAATGATTTCATCAAATATTATTGGTCCACTTTTTCCCCGAAGAAAGCAGTATAAGAATAGTATATATAGCGGCTACATACCCTTTAAACAATTCCAAAAAATAAAAAATAAAACTCAGAAAGATGTATGAAAGTAATCCACTGTAGTCTGTAGATTCCAACTTCCAAGCCTTAAAAAAAAAATATAGAACAACGTAGCAAATGAATGATTAAGATGACATTTGACTGCATTATTTTATTAGTTGGACTTAGAATAGTGAAGCAAAGCATCTTTAATGACATTGTCAGAATCAGAATCTGATATGTCACAGTGGAGACTCTCTAATGGAATATAATTACCACATTTGACTGCATTTTTCCTAAATCCAAATTAAATTATGTGTCAAATTGTCCACTGTTCATCTTCTTCTTCTTAACTGTGTTTTCAAACTTTAAACTGCATATATTCAGAAGAAAAACTATATATGGATGGAAAAGCTGATCAACATTTTTATAAAACTGGAAAGGCTAGATCCTCCTACTCCAATAACTGGCTTAAAGTGCTTCAAACACATTTTCTAATGGCTTGTTTGAACTTTGAAGCAGCCATTACATAGACATCTGCGGGCATAAACATCTTTTGAAAATGTTTTTTCTGATCAAATATCTAGGTCAAGTTGCATCTGTCTTTCACTTCATAGTTTAAATGGAGCCTTTTACTAAGAGGAATATTTAGGATCAAATTATAATGTGAGACCAAACTTTGAAAGTTGGCTATTGCCAGGTACCTAGCTATATGCATGCCTTGTTCACAGTCATCAATTTATAATTTCCTTCCATTTGCTCATCACAAAAAGGTAAAATGAAAGGTGTAGAAGTTGAACTTTAGAAGGACATAGACAAGAGAAAAGGGTGAGAAATTCTAGGGTAAATGCGGAATGAGAAGAGCTCTAGAGTAGAGTCACAAGATTAGAGTTTTGAATTTAGTCGAAGCTAGACGTTGTATTGGGCATTAAGGAGTTTATCAAGAGAAAATCAACTTTGAAGTTAGGACATGTTTATTACAAAACTTATTTTAAGCTACTAATCAAGAGACCAGAATTATTTCCATAGATTGTGCTATGATTCACCGTATGAAGATAAATCCTAATTAGTACGCCATGTAGTTGATACTACCTCCGGTCCTTAATATAAGGTATTTTGATTTGTCATAGGTTTCACACAATATGCATTTTTTATTAATAAAAAAATTTTTAAAAATTTATTTTCTCATTCCTTGTGTTTTTTTATTGTTATGAAATATTTAAAGATTTTTTTTTGTCAATTAAAAATACATATTTGGTGAAACCTAGGAAAAGTGAAAATGTCTTATAATATAGACATGCGGGAGTACTTTCTTAAGTGCAAAATGTGTTTAATTGTATTAGAAATTTGTTTATCTCATTGTGAAAACATAAAATAAAATATAAATTGTACACTTGTCCATCTGAAAGTCAGTGCAAAGAAACCATTCATCCTGGGGGTTGACTAATGCAACCAATTAGTAGTGTTTATGCTGCACTACTAAGATTGTGTAAAATTAATTAGCATATCATGATTGTGCTTTTCATGTTCTTGGTTAAATAAGAGGGAACTGTAATGTAGGGTTTTGATGTCTCTCATGTTTTTCCTAATGATTAGACAATATATATTACTAATATATTTAACCATTTTATAGGAGAGGACAACAACAAATTGATTTGAAATTGTTTTGTGGAGGGCAAATGTAGTAACATGGGACCTTCATTCTAGCCCAATAAAAACCCTAGTCAACGAATTTTCCAATCCTAGAACCTACACCTAGGAGACGGTGTTTTTTGGTTACTCCACATTTGAAGACTATGTTGCCGCCCTTTTTTGGTAAAAAAAAAAGCCCTGAAATTATCATGGTCTTCATAATCATGATTATGGTGCAATTAACCTGAAGCTCCCACTTGAGTGTGTGCTACAAAAGCTCTTTCACGTTTACATTTGAGTAACAATTAGAGGTTTCGGGTTAGAGCCATCAACAACATTTAACCTTCTTTTTAAATGTATAATTAGAGATTTGACTTCAGTGAAGATGTGGAATAAAAAATTGCAATCGGCGAAAATATTATTATAAATAATTGCATTCTGTATTTGGACCAGAGCATTTTATACATTTTCCAACAAATTCATCCTTAATAGATTACTAGCTTGTAGCATTAATTGGTAGATTTTTTAAGCATGGTCACCTTAACTTCAAAAGTGATATCACCGCCACTAGTTAGGGGCTGGTTTTGATTCACAGTACTTCATAAAATTACGAGTGCGTGTAGGTGCTAAATATTATAAAGAAAAAAAAAACATAACTCATTGAGCTAATTACTTTCGAGGTAGGAGATTAGGGCTCAAAAGTAGACAACTATACTATAGGAAAAATAAAAAAATAAAAAAAAAATCGCACACAATCAAGTTGTCAAGTGGAGTATTTAACCTAAATTCCTTGTGAAAACCACCAAGTTGCCAGTTTCTGATCCAAGACAATCAGGAGATGGACAATCAGGAGTACTCTTCTTCTCTAATAATACCAGAAACACCGTATTTATTTTAGAATGGATGAAGTAATTGTGATCGATGTTGAGCGTAGTCGTAGACTCTTGTTATATATTAAACAGTTGTGTTCTTCACTTTAGGGGATGGCTTTAAATTAATTTTTGCATAGTTTAATTATATGCCAAAAGCATTGGTTATTTAAGCAAGAAAAAGGAGATTCTTTGTTCGAGAATGATGAAACCTTGCTACTATATATAAAGATGTTTTATTAATAAGCATAACCCTAAACAAGTTAAGAATATTGCACAGCACATATAATCTCTCGTACATAAAAATATACGTTGATCCACTAATAAACCTCTTTGATACCTTTATTCAAAAAAGTCTTGCAAGTGTCAATCACTAAAAAGATTGCCCTAAAAAACTAATTAAAAGCGATTGCCATTTATGCCATGCAGAAGCCAGTTTCATGCTCAAGCTGACACCTAAAATGATCGAGCATGGGTAGCAGATTAAACTTAAAATACGAATCTTGAAAGAAAATATGGTCATAGGGGCTCTTGTTCTGGTGATCTGGTCTCACATTCATCATGGAAACACAGTTTATCCCCCTCATGACTTTCTTGTTCTTGATATCATTTAAAATTAATAAATCCTATTGAGAGTGGAAGAAACATCCCTACTATGATAATGGGAAGAGAAGAAAAATGAAACATTATTATTATTATTATTATTATTATTATTATTATTATTATTATTATTATTATTATTGGTTAAGAAACGAAACATTATTTTAGAATATATACAGTTTATGGTAACGATAAATACAGTGAATTAGCTGAATGGAATAAATCAACAAATGTCATAATATACCTGTACACGTACAAATTTCACTTAATACATTGAAACCTTTGGAAATCGAATAGTTTTGTATTCTACATACAACATATCAGTCATTGAATGATTTTACTAAATATATTTAATGGTTGTTAATTACAATTCTTTTTTAAAAAAATAAAAAATTAATGGTTGTTAATTACAATTCTTTTTAAAAAAAATAAAAAAATAATTATAAGCTTCCCAACTAACATTAATGATTCCAAGTTAGCACTTTGACCAGATCAGTATTGGCAGAATTGATATCCATAGGCATATTTATAAATTTTATGCTAAAAAGGACGAAATGATTGGCTGATATATTAATAGAAAAAACCCTACTGATCCCTAGTGTCAGTTTGTCTTCTGGACTATGGGAAGATGCTTAGATGATTTATAGATGAAATGAGGCGATTAGAAAATAAAGTTGTCCTCTGGCCTGTCCTTATAAAGAAGGGTTTCGGATACCTTTCCCTAAAGAAATATTCATTCATTATTTGGTTACTCTTTCTCAGCTCTATAATAATTATTCAATTTATTATGTTATTTAAATACAATAAACATGACAATCATTTCGAGAAGAATATTTTCTCAACGATTATTATAACAATAATTGTAAGGAAAACAATCATAACCAATTCATATGCGCACGGTTGGTAGTACATTGTGCTTGTTTCCATCTTTATTGTAGCTGAAGACTCCCTATGTCCAAGAAATGAATAGGTTTAATCACGAACATTGATGATGATGAAAGGGTGGGAGAAAAAAGAAAACGAGAGAATCTTTGAGAAAGGAATCATCATATTTATACAAGTGAAAACTTCTTTTCCACCAAAGAATGTTACCATTTCAAAGGTTAATAATCATAGCAACACATGGCTGACTATTTTTATGTGCTTGGTTTATAATTTTTACCCATTTAACTATATATACGGTTGCATTCTGACTGAGATTTTTTATTAGGGCATTTAAGTGAGATTCACTGTGGCGATTTTTTTTTTTAAAAAAAAAGTGTCAGAAATTATTAGAGTATCTCTTTGGTTCTATATCTAATCAAAGAGATAATTGCAATCACTTGATTTTTAATGGTAAATGTACTTAACCAATTTAATTATAATCATTGTTCAAATTTTAATATAAATATATGAAACCCATGATTAAAATCTTTCTTGTGAGACCTCACCAATTAGATTTAAATCAACTAGACCAATAATTTCAAGTACCGAGAGTGTAATTAATACTGTATATGAAAAATTGAAATAGTTGCATTAAGCAAAAGGGTTAAAGGTTAATCTATTTAAAATAACTAAAACTTGGCAGTTTGTAACTTTGAATCTGACATAACTAGCTAGTCCTCCTTGACTGCATATAATTTTTCTATTCTTCTTTTGTCTCCTCCACCACCACTAAGGAAAACGGTAACATATCTAATGCCAAAGGTAATGATAGAGTAGATGTATATGTAAATATTCCCTGCCTATAATCGTTTCTTCAAAAATTAATAATTTAGGGTGATGCAAACTGCTTAGTAGTAATTATATAGACTTTTTAAATATACTGTATATCGAATACACCAAATTTATAATATCATGATATACAAATTCTTCTATTTCTCTAACGAGTGACGACAAAATGTACTATGACTTCAAATAAAATGGTCTAGTCAGTAAGATGCCAATCGTTTGATTTGTCTCTCTTGGTTTATACAAGATTAAACAACACCTCTTGCTACTCGAGGCTTTATTTATAGCTCTGATTCTGCTGCCTCTATCAAATATCAAAAAGACGAGCAATGGTGCAGAATTTTGGTCTTATTGTTGGAACAGTAGGAGTATTATTATTAATTTTTCTTTTTTCTTTTCCATGAACTGATTGATAGCTAGGGGAATAATTAGTACTCCAACTTGGTACAGGTATAGCTATCTCAAAGAGTACTGAAGAGGGGATTTAGTTTTAAGTAAAATGAAAAATTTATGCTTACAAGTTAGAAGCTGAAGGGGGAAACACAAAGAATGTCGCAAAGGCAGTCAAATGCTAAAAAGGCCATTTAAGAATTAGTGTTAGTAGGTCTTTCCAACTTCTTCCCACCGTGTGGAGAATATCATAAAGACAAACCATCACTTTCTTCTTTTCTTCAAGAAAGTTGGTTTTTCGGTAAGGAATTATTTTTTATATCCCCCCAAAAGAGGAGAGGAAGTAGAAGGAAAAAAAGAAAAAATAAATAAAATTGAGAGGGACAATAGTGTGATCAATCGAATCATTATCAGTTACTATTATACAGTGGAATATGGCTCTTTTGATCACTGTTAATCACAAAGTTGCATTCATTAAATTGTACGGAACTTCTTCAAAAGTTGATCCACCCTTTCATCTTTTTGTCCGAGTAGGCAAGTAACTATCGAAGTAGTAGCCATATCTGAGTGAGTATGAAAATGATACTCCTTCGTTTCTGAAATGATTGTCCAATTTGGACTTTCAGTTGTAGTACAAATTATACTGAAAGTGAAATCTAAACTGACAAAAAAAATTTGAGACAGATGGAGTATAATTTATAATAATATTGACTATTTTTATATGACGGACATAATTTTTTTGGTAGATTCAAGTTTTGCACGATTGAAATAGATGTTTGAAAACGATAACTTCATTTCAAGTTCTTGTCAAATCCATTACTCTAATGTAGCCTTTTTAACCTTCTACTAATTTTCTAGCAATGTTAGTTTGATTTGGTGTTTTTTTCACCATATACTCACTATATATATTCAATAAAGTAGATTATACTCGAGACCTGTTTAAGGGCTGTACCTCAGAAGTAGTTGATGACAAACACTTGAACTCCCTGGATATTGGAAAAACTACATAAATTTCATGTTTTTGATGATTGACTTTGTTATCACTGTGTGAAGTCTTACTCTATTCTAAAGTTTATATGTAGCCCTTGTCGTTACAATACCACGTTGTTATTGTATAACTTAGTTCCACAGAAGGAAGTTTCGACGATGATGATAGTTTGTGCTCCGTGGGGTCTTTTACTCTTTTTACCAAACCCACTGTCCGTTACAAATTCCAGTTATGTGCTCTAATAAGCTTGTTCCGCCGCCATGGCTGCTGCTTAGGTTAAAAATTCCAATGTCATCAGCATGGTGATGATTTATCAGCAAACAAATCTCAGGAGCCAAATCTGGGTTGTTCCAACAACCGAATTTTACTGGGCTCCTCATGTAGTGAGAAAAAAACAAAATCTTGAATTCATCATCATCTGATAATCAGCTTCCATTTCATGGTTAATCTTTTCCAACTCTGACATGTGACAATACTCAGCCATGATGAGGATTTCCACAAAAACCAATCATCATATCCTGTTGGCAGCCCCCAGATAAAAGGAGGAATCTATAATGAAGATTCCTTGACTCCAGCAACTAGGGAAAAGGCTTCCAGAAAATCTAGGAAAATGACACGAACAAAAGAAAACAACCGGTTCTGTGTCTTATATGAGCATTCCAGAAAAGTAACCAAACTTTGTTTCCATCTTAACTAGAAGAAACCAGGAAGTAGCTTGAGAGTTAATTGCCCATTAACATCAATGCTTATGTAGACAGGGAAAAGAAAGAAAATGAACTTTCCAGGTGACTTAATTCAACTGACATACAAGCTTACAAATTGTCCCGTGTATATTCAATTCTTTTCCAACTTTGGGGGTATTGGAAAAATACAAAATCAACTTTTCATTTGCCTTTTTGGCTCATGGCTACAGGACAAAAACCCTAGCTATTATACAACATACATACAGGCCAACTTAACTTATACATTATCAGACAACCAATTACTACAGGGTACACTTTTTGCTCATCTTTTTCCACAGGACAATCGTTTTCGAGACTAGACAGGAATGTTCTTCTTTCCAAGTCTTATTCAGTAAGCAAATTTGAATAGGGGAAAATGCTATACCGTGCCACTAGGTGGTCATATGCTTAGCGAAAGCGTTTCTTGAACAAGTCGTGTCTCTTAGTTGGATCCTTTGGCTTGCCCTTCATCGCCCCATGAGATCTTTTCTGTCCAGTACTGCAGCATTAAAGATAAAGAGGGTGTATCAGGGAATTTACAGTGCAACATTTTTAGACTGGCAAGGCTTTGGGCAAACAAAGCAGTGTTACTAGATAGAATGACTACATAATCACTAATAAAAAAGGTACCACTTGAGCCGAAGTTTGCATGTATTACGATGGCAATTAGAAGTTGGTCCTCTTATTATGCAGCATTTATGTGATCAACCAAATTTCCTTTATAAGCTAAGCAAGGGCAGTTTATTACTATAGCAGAATGTTTATGAAACTTATGCAACATATTCAAGCCAAATAACAAAATCACTGAGGTAAAGAAATCATGGTAACCATACTTGTATTCCATGTAAACCATCCCGTTTGCTCCTGACATCGCACTCATAGATCCAGCATATCGACGCGCTTTTAGAAGGGCCATACCATCTGCATCTTCTTCCAGTTGTTCCAAACCAACAGCATCATCACCGGCACTCAGCACCTATTTCAAAGGAAAAGGCAATCAATACAAGCACGTTGAGACGAAGCAGAAACATCTCAAATGAAGGAACAAAAGGATAACCTTTCCGAGAAGTGCTAGTTGATCTTGGAGATGGTAATAGCTCAACTCGGGTCCTGAATCTGGAGGGGGCAGGCTAGTGATAACCTGCAAACAGAAATTATTAATCATGTATGCAAATTTAACATGTAGATACTGGAGCTAAGGAAATGAGAATGGAACATAGAAAGCCACAAAAGTTTCGCCTACAATTGGTGAATTCGCCTTTGTAAGACAGAGAAACTGTACCTTGAAGCTATAACCTTGGTCAATCAAGAACTGTTGCCTTTTGGTTGAGTAAAACATTTCCTGCAGAAAATGGTCAACTAAATATAAAAACAGATTCTACCGGATGATCGAGCAAGTAGGAACTAAATAATATTGAATTCCAAAAAATGAAGCCAAAAAAAAAAAAACCGAATGTTGGCACATATTGTATATTATTCAACATATTAAGTAGATAATCGAAGAATAATAGTGTTTAAAAGCATTAATTGACTCCCAAATTCAAGTCACCTGAGTATCTGTAGAAACAAGGGAATAGAAAAATGCATTATACTCTTCTTTACCCCCAGCCATTCTGTCTTGGAGCTTCCCCTGTAAAGGTACACAATTGTTAATCATATTAATTGAAGACAAAAGCACAACAGAACTGAACAGAACCCATAAAATAGAGTGCAAAAAACGAACTTTAGCCCTGAGAATACGCCCAAGACGCTGAGCTTCTTGACGCCGTGAACCAGCATGTGATGAGATCTGAATAATCACATTGGCCTCCGGTATATCGATGGAGTTATCACCAACCTGTAGAATACAGGGATGGAAAAATTCATTCCCATACCAAGAAGGTGGTTTTCTCAATTATGAATAGGGAGAGAAGACGTCGGGGGATAACATGCTGTTCATTAACACAATGTATCACTGAAAGTAGTTGACCTCTTTTCATTTACGGAAGAGGCAGGTAATGAGAGAAGTAGAAATCAAAGTTAAAATCCGCATTCAAGTACCAGACATGATAACAGAATGCAACAGCACTCAATTCAATCGCCACGGGAAAACTATGACACAAAACCTCTACCTAACCATTGTTCATAATGATCTAAAAAACCAAAGATGGGCATATGTCAGGATTATAAAATCAAATGTGAGAAAGAAAAAACTACGACCACGACTTCTGCAGGTAGTTTTTGTCAGTTTACAACTCAGACAATTAGTTTGCAGAACAGGATGATAATGGAGGAAGGACGGGAGGGCTACAGTTGGTCCAAAAAGAATTTCCATAGAGGTATTAGATAGATGAAAATTTGCTAGATACTGAGAAAGCCAAAACTCAACACACAATTCTGTTACAAAGGATGGGTGAAAAGAAATCCCCTCTCAAGTCATCTGCAGGCAATCGATGTCAGGCACTCTAAACTAGTCCCACATAGTATTATCATACAAATTATGGCCCCAACATAGCCAGTTTACAGGAAAGCATTATATACACCCCTTATTGTAAAATAACTGCTACCTTTCCATTGCAACAACCCATACCATACCTTTGAAAGGAAAATGGTGTTCACATCCTTGCTAGTTTTGAATGCCTCGAGAATTTTGGTCCTTTCAGCATGACTGCATGCAACAGAAAAGTAGCCACTAAGAAGTTGAGACAAAGTATCAAATGCATCTTAAATATTTAAAGACCATGCAAACCTGGTAGCACCATATATCATAGGTTTTTTAAGCTTCCATGCATACTCCGTGAGAGCAAAAAGATTGTCAGCAAATACAATTATTTTATCACCACGCTGCTCTTCATGAAACCGAATCAGAAACTCGCAAGCCCTGAACTTATTAGGATTCATTACATAAAGTGCCTGGAAACCGGGGAAAAAAATTTAAAATAAACGAAAGAATACTTTTAGCCAAACATAGTCAAAAATCATAACTAAAAAAAAAGAAAAAGTCAAAGCACAACAGTATTGGAAAAAGAGAAGGCAGAATTAAAAAAATAAATGCTGGCGCTTCTGAAAAGGAACAAAATTGAAAATAAAAGCTGCTTCTGCAATACACAGAATGCAGACAAGACACAATTCTAAGCCACTGGGAAGAATTTTAAAAACTCACCGTCCTTCATCAGAAATTTAAGTCAAAGCACACTCTTAAACGGATTTTCATTTCTTCTTAAGAAGCAACCAAATAGACAAGCCTATGCTGAAAGATGACCACTGGCATTTTACTGTACAAGCAAAGCACAAGCAAGATTTTACATGTTCTCACTTATATAGTAACCTGAACCTACCACGTCATTTATAATGCACTTCTGGCAAACAAAGTTTCGGTTATTCGTTCCAGGCACTGAATGAAACTAGACTCAGATGTTAACAGAACACAAGAAAGGAACACCAATTGCAGTTGAAATACCTGCTTCTTCTTGGAATTCTCTTTCTTTAAATATTCAGCAAAAAACTCTTTTGTCATTGGACACCACACCTCAGCACACTGAACATTTGCTATGAATCCACCTTTCACTAAGTCCAGCCAATTTGCCTCATACAACTTGGGGCCAATGAGGAAGTTCAAATCAGTAATCCTCTCATCCTCTCTAACAAGTGTAGCTGCAATTTTGCAAAAAATCATTCATTATCACACCTCCGTCCGATATTAAAGCAGAACTCCAAGAAGATTAACATATCCTTTGAAATTGTTACCTGTTAGACCAAGTTTACAATGAGATTTGGTAATGCTTATGACTTTCCGAAACATTTGAGCAGGGACCACATGGACCTGAAAGAGTACCATGTTAGAGGGGAAAAGACATGAATAATCTGGTTCTTTATTCAGAAATTATAAATAAGAAGCATTAATCATCTTTCAGATATATTGATACCTCGTCCATTAGAAGCAATCCCCATTCTCGATTTCGTATTTCTTCAATAATCTTTTCAGATTCTTCAGAACGTTTTCCACTAAAAGCAACCATGTTGTATGTGGTTACAACCACCCCAGCATTACCACGAAATTTTTCTTTGCTTTCAGATGTGAAACGACAAATATGATCTTCTCGAATTGTAGACCACAACTTGAATTGAAATGCCCACTGATCGACGGAGACAGCATTGGTCGCCAAGCAAAGGCAGCTTTTCTTAATTCTACTAGCGGCCGAAACACCCACCAAGGACTTCCCAGCACCACAAGGTAGCACAATTATACCCGACCTTGCCCTACCTGAGACATAAGTTCAAAAATAAAGTAAGATTGAAGCCACTTCTTTCTGCAAGCAGAAAATCCAGAACCAACAACGCCCAGTTTTTTCCCACAGGAAGAACAGTACAAAAAACAAATAGTTCCCTTCACAAGTTTTCGTCTCGGTGTTGAGGAAATAATATCAAAACATCGTTTATCATCAGCAGAGTAAGAGCACTTTACCATCAGACCCGTAGAAACTTACCGTTACCAAACATTTTGCTAAGACTCTTTTCTTGGTATGGTCGTGGCTGAGCTTGAGGCTTCAGCTCCATGTCAAGATCAGGGTTTATCTGTTTTCCAATTTCACAAGAATAACAGCAGAACAGCCATATAAATTAAAACAACAGAGGATGATAAAGGCATGCTTTAATTGTATCAATTGTAAGCAAAACTCACCGTGTCATTCCTGAAATCATATTCCTCCAACATCGGATAATTTAAAGCATTTGGCAAACAAGCCTGCTTGACATTTTCAACCTGCCATGGCAACAGCAGGAAAAGGAATTACACAACCAATAGGTAAAGGAATCCAATTTCTTCATTCAGGCAAAAAGGCATATTCACAAATGCGATGCATTACTAAACCAAGATTACATTACATGTGTTGCATGCGGGAAGTGAAATTCAGTACCAAACCACTATGTTGCCCAAAATATGAACAGGATGAATAGTTGATTAAGTCCAGCATAGAACACTTTAATAGAAGTTTCATGAAGCCAACTCACAGGCCAAGAGCGAGCTTTTAATTGATGCAGGACATTTGGAAAACAAGGATCAATATTAATATGTGCCAACGTATTACAAAACCTCCCCTCCAAGAAAATCGAAGCACAACATTAAATGCTAACATCCTCATCAGGATGAAGAAGCGAAAATCATCTTCATGGCAATGAAGAAGAGAGCAGAAAAAATGGAAAATAGCTTGAGATGAAGAGCACAATAATCCTCCAATTATAGATGACAAAAGGAAACCAATTTAATGACACCATCCAAATGCAAAGGTAACTGGGAAACATGAATGAACATTCTACATGCCAAGATGGCAAATAACATCACAGTGCCGGTGACTGCCTAGATGGAATGTAACAAGAACTGGGGAAAAACTTGGAGAAAAAACTCACTTAAAAGATCAATTTTAAAGCTAAACCAGGAACTCAATTTCTCTCGAAAGTCGAAGCTAAATGAGGGTCCCCAACATAATCACCATCAAAAGTAAAAACAGGAAAAGATAAGAATAATTCAATAAATGATTACCTGGGAAGGATCAATTTCAAATGCATGAGTCTCCTTTTCCTCAGCTACAGCAGCTAACTCTGCTTCATTTAGCAACTCGTCATGTCTTCCTTCTATCTCGCCCAAGGATCTACTCACTGTAAAGCCATCACCTCCGTTTGTTCCCTAAAGATCAGTTGATGCAACAAATGACACGATATCAAAGATAATTTGGAGTATCATAAATCCACTTAGGAAGACAATATGCCTTCTTGTCCGAATTCTATTTATTCCATTGATAATTGATTTACACTATTTACAGACCTCGGGTGAGATTCTAGCTCGACGAATAGTTTCATCCGTGAGCAATTTTTGCAACACCTGCAAAAAATAATCACCAATAAATTCAATCATCCGAATCCAACACCCCAGAAAAGTAAATGATACAAAAAAGAAGGTGCTAGTTTAGTAAATATAAAACAAGCTTACCTCTGGAAAAGGGGACTCAACCAAATACCGATTTTTCTTCAGAACAAGCTTGACTTTGCCATAATTTGCAGTTGAATCATGAATAAAGTCTATCATCTCTTTTGGCAGCTTGGTTTTTGACAATTTACTTAAAACTGATATGATAGTTTCCGTCTCAAGCCCAACTGAAACTGCCGCGTACAATGAGTGTGGAGTCAAATTGTACTCGTGCATTGACTCTGGCCTATAAACCATAAAGAAATCCTCAAAAGCAGATTAAACCTCCACTATCATAATACAAGCAGCTACTTGTAAAGTAAGCATTGAGAAAGTTCCAATCTTTATATGTCAAGCTAGAGCTATATATTGAATGCAATCATTTTCTCATTTAAGTAATTAACAACAACATGACGATAGGCCCTTCAAGTAAATGACGAGTATAACAACAAACACCTGCAAACGGGTTCTGCAATGGCAATGAGAAAGTCATATGCTTGTTTGTATAGTGGGGAGAAAGTTTCCAGGAAAATCCGACCATCAGCACAAGCCCACAATGGCCGATTTTCGTGATCGGGCTTGAGTTCCAATTTAGTAAAATCCCTTTTTTTCCCTTCACCTTAAAGATCATCCAAATTAAAGCATCACTAAATACATCCGGAAATACCAAAGGTAAAATGGAAGAAAGAAAAAAAAAAAAAGGAACCAGATGAAGTAGTAAACTTTATCAAATCCAAAGTTAGTTTACCATCTCGATAATCATCATCATTATCTTCGGGATAATATGAATAGTCATCTTCAATAACTGTATTCCTATGCTCTTCCTGCATCATCATTTCAATAAATACTCATAAATAAGCTTAAAACCCCAATCTTGATCCAACATCACAAGGAAAATCTGCTGTAATGAAGTAAAGAAGAAATCAATAAAGTAAAGCAAAGAACCTTGTTGGGGAACTTGCTTTTTTTGCTGGGTCGACCTTTATCACCTGAAATTACAACAAAATCATCATCTCTCTTTTTATCTTACACAATTTGTTTTTCCATGAAGTGAAGGTTTGTTTAGTTTCTCAGTCAAATGATAATAGTTCAACTCAAACATTTGGCGGAAAATTACCGTTTCCCATCGGATTCTATATTTGTGATTTTCTGGGTTTTTTTGGTAATTATTTCTGATGCTTTCTAAGATGGAAGAAGAAGAAGAAGAAGAAAATGGTATTTAAACGACGACCCGAACGGGGCGGACTCGTTTCGACCGTCTTCAGTGAGGGCTCCGGCCTGCGCAACGGGTCAAGTTTTTTTTTTTTAGTGTGTGTTTTTAGGTGTTTTTTGTATTGGGAATGTAAAAAGTTGTATTAAAAATTTAAAAAGATAAAATAATTGGGAATGTAAGATTGTATTAATATTACATATTGAATGAAAAGATAAAATCATTGTACGCGTAAAATACATAATGAAGTAATTATTAATAGTAGATGGTAGATAATGTGTGACTGAAGTGTGAAGTTTAAAGTTTTTATGGTTATTTTGTTGTAATTAAAGATTCTATGATACTGTTTGGCCCAATACTTAATATTTTAGAGCAACAAATGTAGAGTTAAAATTTTTGCCCTTTAATCCCTTTTTGCTAACAATAAAAAATAATAATTAATGAAATTATGGGTAAAAAAAACATAAATTTAGTAACGTCTGAAAAAGAACCCTAAAACATCATTTTGCAGAAGAACATACGGAAAAAAAATCATATATAACCTTAATTAACCATTACATCCCATGCCGCACGATCGACTCACTATTAGTTCATCACTTTCAGAACAACAAACCAGCTGTAGGGCCAAAGTTTTTGTTCTTTCATCTTTGAATTTCGGGTTGTTTTGGGGAGGGGGAAATTTTTGCAGCACTGGAACATACTCACATACTCATGGTTTGTGTGGCATGTATAAATAGAGATAGATTGATGATAATTGATTATGCAAAATTTCAGTGATAAAGATAAAATTTATAACAATTTTTGAGATATTATTAAGGAAAGATTATATTTATTCGGGTAGATATGATATTGCACAAATAAATGCATTGGTTTGAAATTCAAAAGATAACATTTAGTTATAGTTAAATCTCATCCTTTTAGTAATAATTGAAGGCAAGTTTTGTACCTTTTTTTTCTTTTCTATTGGCGAAAAATACAGAGCCATGTTTTTAGGAGAAGATTTTAAAGATAAAATTAATGTTAAATGATTGGTTTTTTTTTTTTTTTGAATTGTAGTCTATTGATTTACATGATTGGAAGAAATTTTTTTTTAGAGGGATTAATTAAATGAGTCCCGTAGTAGGTTTGGGGATTCTTTTGGAGAGGGAATAATTCTGGTGCATTAATGTTCATTAATTCCGTCCATTAAATTTAATTAATTTTTATTTTCCTATTTTAAACTATAGTTTTAAATGCCATTTGATAAAACTTTATTTACATAAAATTTGAAAGACTATTAGTATAATTGTTGTAGATATTTTTTTATTCAACCATTAAAAAAATGACACATAAGATTTTATCCTATGTGGCACCTTTAGAATTCTTTTTTGTTTTCTCTCTCTGGTTTCTCTCTTAGTATAACTAGATGCTTGCCCCGGGCGAATGCCCGGGGAGTCGTCTATATTTTTAAATTGATATAAAAAATACGAATTACTCTTAAAAGAATAAAAAAAATTAGAAGAATAAAAACTCGATTGAAAGCACAGAAAGTGAGCTATTACACATAAATCTATGTCCAGATTTACATCATTTAAGTTATAACAGTTAACTTATGCCTGGGTTTACATAAATCATAAACCAATATTTACAACAGAAGAATAAAAAAAAAATCATCCTTAAAAAATTAAATTTCTTTCATGGCACCTTATTTTTTCTCTGTTGTAGAAATAGATAGATTGATAATTGATGTCAGATTTTAAGTAACTGATTTAAATGCCCGGGTGTGAGAGAGGAGCGGAATGGAAGAGATTCTTTGAAATTGGGGATTGGGAAGACATTACTGGTGTTTCACTTGATTTAAAGGGATTTCCTTACATGTGATTTTATCAACTAAATATTGTTGTTTTAAAAGATTAGTATATACCTATAATTAAGATATTTTTATGTAGCTATAATTAAGGGATTTATGTATTTATCTATTCTATCTTTTTCTTCTGATTAGTTAGAGTGCCACGTGTCAAAATGATTTTGTACTGAAAATGGCTTTTGGCGAGAAAATTTTTATTGTGGTGCTGACACATGTCCTTTTTGTTTGTTGCTTTAATTAAGTACTATACATAATAAAATTTGATTAAATGGGATAAAAAATAAAAGTTCAAACAGTGAGGACCTATATACTTGCCGCCCGGGTGACCAACTGAGATTTAATATGATTCAATAATAAAATAATTCACTGAATGTAATATATAGTATGTGTCTTCAAACCTATTTTAATAAAATTATGAGAAAACAATATAAAATTCTAACCTTAAACAACAACTTATGAGCTTGAATAGTTGGGAAAGAAAACACCGAACCAGATTCAGATCAGATTTCACATCCATCAAAATGATAAGTCGTTTAAGTGAAAAATGTTCGATTGACTATTGACAAACACTAAAACGTTGTCTCTAGCTAAGTGGTAGTACAAATAGTCAAATACATATGATTCATATTTAATCTAGGAGCGGAAGCAGCTAAATGCACCTGTAGTAACAATTGGAATAGTTACGAGGCCAAAATTATAACAAAAAATAAATACTCATGAACATCAATTTGGTGAGTGGGACTGCCTTTACTTTATTTTATGCTTCTCTCCCTTGCTTTTCCATGGAAATGCCCTACAAAGTCAGCAAGAGTTGGGATCAGATTATGTGGACATGTCGAGTCAAATTCCAAAAGTAAAGATGAAAGATATCACATGTATTTTTTCTATTATGGTTACAGAGAATTTACAAATTTACACGAATAACACGAATAACCGGCTGCTGCAGATAGAACAAACTTCACTTTAGGAGTATCAAAATAGATTCGAATACTCTCATGGCTACACTGACTAACAGACTCTATCACTTTAAGATTAGGTAAGCCAGCTGCAGTGCACAAAAGATTATCACAAAAGGTACTGAAGTAATTTCGATCAGACAACACATTGGCGATTTCAGGAGTTCTAACCACAACACAAATTGAAATTCCATTTGGAATGCCACATTAAGAATAAAAAGGGCATCTAATCAAGCAATACAACGGCTTTGTATAGTTAGAATTCTCAAGCCTAAAATTGAAAATTTTTAACTTATCCATCATAGTGTCTAAATGTAGTGATAAAAAAAGACAATCATAGACGCAACTTCTTTAAAAAAGTATTCGTAAATCCAGAAAAGTTATTAGTAGCTGTATCGAATGCATATTTGAAAGCCCAAGAGAAAGAAAGTCTATGATAAAAGTAGAGATTCCAATGTTTGCTATTACTTACAACATCATCTTGGCACAAAGCTACTCCAAACGTGAAGTTCTTTATCGATTCTCTAATTTGAAAAGAAAGAAAAAAAATCTGGATGAGGAAGATGATGTTTTGAACTTAATCCATCCTTAAAAAGCACTCAATTAAAGCATCATACAACTATAAATTCAATCAACTACGGATTCATTTTCCAAAATTGATAACTTCTTGTATGCTGCATTAAGACATTAGAAGTAGAAATACCCATTTCAATTGACCGTGGCCCTTGGTAAGATATGCAGTAGTAGGCACAATAGCCAATGAGTCAGATAAAGCACCAAGTAGATTTATCTCTGTACTATTAGTAGATGCTGGTGTGGTACTTCCAGTCTGGAGCAGCCACATTTGAAGTAGTTGCAGCTGTTTAAGAAAAAACATATGCCAAGTTCAACCCTCCTCTTCTCCAGAAATGCAGCAGGTTTGCAAAAACTTTAAAATTTAATGAAACTATTTTATGCCACAGAATTTAGAATGCTATTCTACCATCCTCCATATAAGGTATACAAATTGAAGATGCACTGAAGGAGGAGCAAAATCATACTCCCTCCGTCCTATAATTATTGTCCAGTTTGAATTTTCAGTTTTAGTTCAAATTGTACTAAAAGTGAAATCTCAAACTGGACAATCATTTTGGGAAAGAGGGAGTAATACATATGAGCACAAGCAAATATGTACTTTATATGGAAAAACAAAGTCAATATTTCTTGTTTCAACTTTTCAAGTGAAAGGAGACCAACAAAATCAGGCAACCTACAAATTCGAAGGAGAATGAAAATCAAGTAACTTGGGGAGATAATAAAAAATGTTGTATCTGTTTTTGGAAAGCCTATAATGATATCTACGAACGAAAAACATAGCACCCGGGCAGAACAAAAACGTAAACAATACCCCAAGTAAGAAGTTCAAATATACTTGATTCCAACTTGAAGTTTCCAAGACCAAGTTTGATTCCACCGGAAGCCCCTGTCCAGTCTCTTCATTACCTTCCTTCCTTCACAATGGATTGCAAAGGGTTAACAATTAGCAATATAAAAAAACAGAGAAAACAAAACCAGATTAAAAATAAAAAATAATTATGTCCAAAAGTAATCACTGGGAGCAATTGAGAAACACAAAAGAAAACCACAGTTCACCAAGGTTCAATCGTTGGATCCCCTGTGGAATACTTGATTTGGCATACGAACACGCCGGTGCTGGCCCTTGAACACCCGAGCTGGTAGTCCATCGCCGCAATCCTACAAAATCGTCCAAAACCCCATTTTTATGTAATTTTTCGTGAGAGGAAAAAGTCCAGAATTTCAAATTGAGATTTACTAAATACCAATTATTTTAGAGAGACTACAATTGAACGGATTAAGAGAAATAAAGGGAGCGAGGTTACTGTACTTTTGGGGAGGTGGAGAAACGGATAAATTTCCGAGAAGAAGCTGATTCTCTCGTGTTCGGTGATGGAGGAGAAGACAATGGTAGCATCGCTCCTAACACTTACGCTTCCCGATCCGACTTCCACTCCGAATCATAACCACAAGGGGATGATTTCTGGTCAGGCGGCAGCGGCGCCGTCGTCGGTGGCTTCTGTTTATTTCCCTTTCAGTTTAGATATAGGCAAAAGGCGCCATCATCCAAAACCCCCCCTTTTTTTGGCCTCTCACTTTCGCAGAAGAGGTGTAGAAGGTTATGCCCTTTATCCAACTTTCAGATATTCCTTTAAAATTTGAATTGATACGCTTTAAGTCGGAGAAGATAAGATTGAACTTTTGATTTAATTTGATGCAGCTAAAATTGAGGGGCGGAGCTAAAATTTGGGAGTAGATTGATATTTGTAATTTATCTCTTCTCAATATAATTGTGATATTTGGGTTTCTTTATTATTATCTTATCTTAAATATTATTTATTATCTTTTTTTATATTATACGTAACTTTGGCTTTTTTAAGGCTTCTTTTTCCTAAAAATCTAGAGTGCCACGTGTCAGTTTTCATTTTGTACTAAAAAAGGCCTTTGGCGGGAAAATTTTCAACATGGAGCTAACACATGTCCTTCTTGTATGTTGCTTTAATTAAGTACAATAGATATCTACCATATATACTATATAGATAAATCAATGCTTCTCATTTCCTATTCTTATTTAGGAATTATGTTTTTTTTAATGTGAAATAACTACTTTCAGAAATCGTGGCAAATTATCACATATTATTTATTCAAATTTGACCTCATTCACTTTACGACATTAATTACATATTAATGTTGATTGATTGATTGTAATCAATTTTAATTATTTATGATTTTTTTAAAATTATACGTATTCAATTAACTGTCCATTAATATAAAATTAGGTGTGATAAAATTTATTCCTATAAATTTCCAAGGATTTGTTGTGTAATTGTGTAAACTTTTTTTTTTGTGAGATTTTATATAAAAATGTCATATAGGATTTTATCCTACGCGGCGACGTAAAAACTTTTTTTGAAACCTCTCTCTGGTTTCTCTCTTAGTATAATACGAGAGATATATAGATGTATATACCATGGCTTATGCTCTACTATCACGCGTTGAATTATGTACTTACTTTACACCATCTGGTCCTCAATTTTTTCTTCAATTACTCGAATATACATTAAATTATAACACTTTACTTCATGCTGCTTGAATAATTAATTGTAAATTTATATTGTGTTCAATGATTTTTTTTAGGGAAAAACAAACTTTATTGAAATTACTGGAAATAGTCCAACACCATTTGATACAAGAACAGACCATCCAAAATGACGTACTCAAACCGTCCTAATGCCGTCCTAATGACGTACTTGCGGTACTAGTCACTGCACCAGTGACTAGACCAATACAACTGCCAAAAGGGTTAATAATCCTATAATGGCATAATTCTATTGTTGAACATATCACGGAACAGAATAAAATTCTGAACTCGAATATATCACTTATCCGCAGACTGAAGGTCATTAAGAATGAACAACACACACCAAATTTGGACTCGACCAACGGACTCGGTTCCGTTGACGTACTAAATTCGCTCAGTAAATAGTCAATCCGAGATCTATATTGAGGGTGGGCTATCCCACTTAATTGAATTAAAACAAAACAATAAAAAAAAACAATCAAATCCGATCTGGCATAGACTCCATCAGATCTAGGATGCAGCGATGGTGCTTGGAGCTTCCGGCGTGGATCGGCTGGATGGGTTCCGAGGGGAGGGCGGCGAAGGCAGCAAAGGTAGCAGCGGTGAGTCGATATGAGTTCCGTGCGGAGGGCGGCAGAGGGCGGCAGCGGTGAGTCGTTCTGGGTGTCAAGCAGGGGTGGCGTAGAAGTCTGGCCAGCGACAGAAGGTTGCAAGATTGATGAATCGGTCTTCTCCTTCTTTGGTGGAGGACATCTGATTTTTTTTTTTTTTTTTATAAATAGAAAGTAAATAAAAACAGAAGAGGAAAAGACTCCCCAACCACCGTTAATGGTGGTCGGGAGGAAGAAGTGATTTCCGGCGAGGGTGTTTTAGAGAGGTAGGAGAGAAAAAAGCCTACAGAGAGAAACTACCAGCAGTTAGAATTATGTTCAATGATTTTAAAGTAAGGTTTTGTGATTGTCAGGAATTTATTTTTTATAAATATTTATTTTCAATAGTTTGATTCCTTACTATAATTACTTGTGTTATAGTTACTTTTATAAATATTCATCATAAGATTTACTTTTATAGTTCCATTCAATTTCTTGAAACTTTTGATTTTCAGTATCATATAATATAAAGCTGTAAAATCATTAGCCATGGCAAAGGCCATTTAGCATAATCAACTAAATAGTCAGGGCTTATGTCATGACATAAACATATTCAATAATTATCAAACTAAGTGTTATTTTTTTAATTGTTTTATTTTAATAATATAGCACTATTAGAAACATAAAAAACATTACTGAATTTTTCTGAAAGCTATTAGTGTTATTTTTTACTTGTTTTATTAGTTCATAATTATCAAACTAAGTGTTATTTTTTACTTTTTTTTTAGCAATATAGTGTTATTAAAAACATAAAAGACATTACAGAATTTTTCTAAAAGCTATTAGTGAATTTTTCTTGTTCACTTACCTTCTAACAAGTTCATTCAACATGTCAAACTTTTTTTTGTTAGAATATTAATACTATTCGCTTTTGATTTGTTGACTTATTTTCAATAATTGTTTCTTTATGTAATTTCACAACTTGTAAATGACATTTTTTTTTGGAGAATGTCACTTTTTGAGTTTAGTGGAGATTTTTGTTCTTATAACACCACGGTAAAATTAACAGTAAAATTATATGAAAGTTGGGAGAATTTATTATGATAAATTTATTTGTGGTAAATGATAATCAAGTTCGATTGAAGAGTACGAATGAGTAGTTCGTTGAGGAGAATAAACACATTAACGACTCATTGAATATTTTAAATAATAATTTAGTCAAATTTATTTCATTAATGTGTTTCAATTTCCATTAAGACGGTCAGATTATTTAGAAGGTTTATTCCACTTATCATTTGTTAGATGTTACTTTCACTGTCTAAAGAAAGTAGTTTATTGCATTGTTTAATTAAAGAAAGTGAATAATTTTTATAGGAATCAAAGAAGTAAAATTTTAAAATACGACGTTTTGTATTTCATGTAAACTCTTTAACCTATTTATAAATATCTAGCTATAGTAAATATCAAGGGAGAAACCAGTGAGAGAGAGAGAAAAAAAAATTAATCTTAAAGTGATAGTGATACATAGGATTTTTTTTTCTCATATTGCATTTTCTCATGAACTCAATAAGAAAAACTTCACGTACATTAAAAAAGCCCTCATATCTTTAATCAATTGTAATTCAAGTAAGTTTATAAAATTATCAAAAAATTATCATTACGTTAATCAATTATAATTAATCGATTATGTATTTTATGCAATCATTTTGTTTTTTCATTCAACGTAACATCAATATGTTCTTATTTACTTTTAGTCATATAATGTTTAGGATTGTCATCTTATGATCTATTTACTCCTTTGATCAACTAAAAATTTCATATGATAAGCAAATTTTATCTTTTGAATCTCAGTCATATAAGCAAATTTTATTATCCATTTACACCTTCATTTAATTTCAGTCACGTAATCCATACTTTTTAAATTTTTAATATTGATAATATACATAAATAAATCTCGCCCATTGTGTGAGTTTAGCATCTACTTACTTCTTACTATCTCAAAAAAAAAAAAGAGGATTAAGAAAAAAGGAAATCATACGAAAATTACAAATATGAAATGAGATACCCTGTCTGAATTAAACCTTAAATGATTAAAATCTGTAGCTAAAAAAAAATAAAAAATAAAATAAAATACGAAAATACGAAAATAAAATCCCCGGTTCGATTCAATTTGGTAGCCGGTTTGCGTCAAGACTGCACATCTTTTACCCGTCAAAACTCGGAAGCGTTCCCAAGTATTTTCTCTCCTCCTCAGTCCCGAACGGGGGCTTCTTACAATATTTCCACAAAAGCCCCCAAGCGGAAGGCGGCGTAACACCACGTTTGATTTCCGTTTCCGGTCGCCGGAGTATTGATTGGTTGTGCGAGAATGAGCGGACACGATTCTAAGTATTTCTCCACCACGAAGAAGGGTGAAATCCCTGAGCTCAAAGAGGAACTCAATTCTCAGTACAAGGTTTTCCTTGATTTCCGTTTCATATTGTGTGGAGTTTCAGTAATTTATTCAATTTCATTCTAGGCGTTCGAGCTCATCCATAGCATTTTTTTTTCAGCTCCGAACGAATGATCTGCGTTATTCGTTTATTTTATTTATGTACAGTGATCTGAATACATTTCGATGCTTGTACCTCAGTATTGCTGTCAGATCTATGGTGTTTTCATTTAAGTAATCTTGATAACTGTTGGACGAATTTAGCCAGTGAATCGATCTGCTATTGCTTCCCAACTTACTGCTCTGATTTGCTGCGATTAGGCTTCGAATCGGAATGAGAATATTGTGCACTTCTTTCTTGATCGTGAATTCTGATGTTTGCTGTATTTTCCAAATTCAGGATAAGAGAAAAGATGCTGTCAAAAAAGTCATTGCTGCCATGACTGTTGGGAAAGATGTTTCTTCACTCTTCACTGATGTTGTCAACTGCATGCAAACAGAGAATTTGGAGCTGAAAAAACTGGTTTACTTATATCTAATCAATTATGCTAAAAGCCAGCCTGATCTTGCCATTCTTGCTGTAAATACATTTGTAAAGGTAATAATAATCACATCACTTTTACAGTCCTGCAGTTTATTTTTTTTTGTTTTCTCTTTGATGTTACTTCGCTTATGTGTCTGTGTCAATAATTTTAAAATTCGATGAATCTTTAAAAGTTCTGCTGACTACAATATCATTTACTAATTTGGTTTGGATGGACACGTGATCTCTTGCTTGGAAAACCTTCAGGGGATGGAGTGCCAAGATAGTGATATCTCTATTTCTCTGAGTTTGTTATTTACTAATTGGGCTCTCGTAAAGTGAAATTCCTTAGATGAGGATATGAATTTGGATCATTTGGTAATTTGATCGCTTAATATTGAATTGGATCTTGTGGATCTTTGTATTCAAGATTTTTTTTTCTTTGGTAGTTCTTGGTTGGTACTGGTACTTGTTCATTGTCTTGCATATCATAGAAGAATAACGTGTGAACTAGGTAGTTGAAGGAGTATAGAGATGTATGTATTCTTGTCATGCATAAAATAAGTAACCGCAGAATTTATAGTTTCTCTCCTTGGGCAAGTAAATATGAAACTTGGTATTTAAATCTCAAGGCACAGTGGTGTAGTTTCAGTACTATTGCTTCTAGTTGACTAGCCAGAAATATTACCAAGTTTGGTACTCATGTATGTCTGATGAATGCTTTTTATTTAAAGAGCCACTAGGATTATATGGTTTCTGTATGCACTGTTCCACAATGGTCTGGTAAACATTTGTAGATAAACGATGCTTCAGTTTCTAAAGGTTCCCAGGCTCAAAGTATCAGAAATTACTGTATTTATTCACTCTTTTCATTTGTACAGATTTATGTGTAATGTTGTTTACTTTTGTGGCAGACCCTTTGTGGTTACTAACTTTGTGCATTTGATGCAGGATTCACAAGACCCAAACCCTTTGATTCGTGCCTTGGCTGTACGAACCATGGGTTGCATCCGAGTCGATAAAATCACTGAGTATCTTTGTGACCCCCTTCAGCGGTGCCTCAAGGTAAATCACCAACCTCCTTTATGCAGGGATTCACATTCTCTGTATGTTTACATTGATATATGATCTCTCAGGTGTTTGTTCGTTTTAATGACTAATGACACCCCATTAAATTATTCTCTTGTGGGTTAGGCCGACTTTTTAATTTTTATTTTTCAACTGAGCCCCACTATTGTCTCTTTGTATCCTTGTCAGGATGATGATCCATATGTTCGCAAGACAGCTGCTATATGTGTGGCTAAACTTTATGACATCAATGCTGAACTGGTTGAGGATAGGGGTTTTCTGGAAGCTCTCAAGGATTTGATTTCTGACAACAATCCAATGGTTGTAGCAAATGCTGTTGCTGCTCTTGCAGAGATTCAGGAAACTAGTGCAAAACCAGTTTTTGAGTTAACCAGCAACACTCTATCAAAGCTTCTTACTGCTCTAAATGAATGCACTGAGTGAGTATACCGAGCCTCTGTATTTGGTCATTTTTCTCATATGTTTATTTAATCACCCTCTTAATGTTGTCTGTTGGTGGATACGGCATATGTTTGGAATGTGTGGGAAAGTGAATGACATTGACAATACAAAGCCCTCATTTTCTCACTGGTTGTTTAAGAGATATGTGCTGTAACATCAAATGCTAATGGAGAGCAGAGTATTTTACAAATAAATTTACTGAAGGATATTTCATTGAGATATGGAATTCCCATTCTTCAGTCTTTGGGTTTTCTTGTTGTGATGCTCGATTTAGCAATACTTCACGTCTGTTTGATAAAAGTTAGTCTTTGATTCTGAATGCTGAAATAGAAATGCTGAATTCATTAAGTTATTAAGAAATAAGATTAAGCTGAAATTTTCTGCTTATTGTTTCTACTGCAAGTTAAGCACCTCTTGATCCATTAAGAAGTTTAGTTTTTATTTTTTTTAATCATTATTATTTTTTTTTATCAAACCCACTGAATCAAAAAAGCACTTAATCAAATAGTTATAAGCATTAAATGGTGTTAACAAACAGGCCCTTAGCATTTATTCTGCATCTGCAAATGTGAACTTCTCACTGATGAATGAGATATTTCTGAATGCTTGTAGGTGGGGTCAAGTTTTTATTTTGGATGCTCTTTCCAAGTATAAAACAACTGATGCTCGTGAAGCTGAAAACATAGTAGAGCGAGTTACTCCCAGACTGCAGCATGCAAATTGTGCAGTTGTCCTTTCAGCAGTCAAGGTGAGATGCTTTCATTCTTTTATCCATATGGTATATTTGGGTAATAATACATCAGTCATTATGTGACTTGCTTTAGTTCTTGGTCTCTTCCTTACTCTGGAGGTTATTTCTGATGACGTTACAGATGATCCTTCAACAAATGGAACTGATTACAAGCACTGATGTAGTTCGAAATCTCTGCAAGAAAATGGCTCCACCGCTTGTCACATTACTTTCAGCTGAACCAGAAATTCAGTATGTCGCATTAAGGAACATAAACTTAATTGTTCAAAAAAGACCCACAATCCTTGCCCATGAAATCAAGGTAGCCACGTGCAGTTTGGAGTATTATTTGTTATATTCTGAAGCCTCCTGCTAGTGAATTATTAGTCTTAATAAGTGAAAAGAATAAAAGCTCATGAATTGTGGGGCATGATTCTGCAGGTCTTCTTTTGCAAGTATAATGATCCAATTTACGTGAAGATGGAGAAGTTAGAAATCATGATCAAGCTTGCTTCAGACCGAAATATTGACCAGGTAGGGGGAAGAGGGCTGGAGTCAATGTTCGGTTACTTGCTTCCTCATGTGACCACAATACCTATTGTCACTTCTGCAGGTCCTATTGGAGTTCAAAGAATATGCTACGGAAGTAGATGTGGATTTTGTGAGAAAAGCTGTTCGTGCTATTGGACGATGTGCCATCAAGCTGGAGAGAGCTGCTGAACGATGCATTAGTGTCTTGCTTGAGTTGATTAAAATCAAAGTGAACTATGTTGTTCAAGAAGCCATTATAGTAATCAAAGATATCTTCAGGCGGTACCCTAACACGTAAGTAGTTCTCTTGTTCTCATTTTTTTGTTTTTTCCATGATTGGTTTCTACCATGTTTCTAATGTCTCCTTCCCCACCCCTAACCCTTCCTCCCACCTCCCAAAACTCCAGATATGAATCCATTATTGCAACACTTTGTGAGAGCCTGGACACTTTAGATGAGCCAGAGGCAAAGGTACTGTGTGGTAACTGGAATTGTATCTCTTTTTAGAGTGGCTTCTGTTGCTTCAGAAAGATTTCCTTATGGCAAGGTCTAACTTCGCTTACTTTTACTTTTAAGGCGTCAATGATCTGGATCATTGGTGAATATGCTGAACGAATTGACAATGCTGATGAACTTCTTGAAAGCTTTTTGGAGAGCTTCCCTGAAGAACCTGCACAGGTCCAATTGCAGTTGCTGACAGCAACCGTGAAGCTTTTCCTTAAAAAACCTACTGAAGGCCCGCAACAAATGATTCAGGTTTTTCCTCATACTTAATAGTTGCAGAGATGTATTAAAAACTCAATTGAGGGACTTGATGCTCATTTAGTTTGTGGTTAGTTGACCTTGTGGTTCCATGTGAGAAATATTGATCATAGTATTTGTGGTGAATTTTGATGTTTTGCGTTGTTTGCTTATTTTTAAGAGATCAAATGCTATCTTTTCTGAGTATCGGCTTTGCCTTTTTGCTTTTCGCAAGGTATCAGATGGCACTTTCGGTGAAAGTGGTCCTTGTCTTTTATATTGTAGTCTGTTCTTTTTTCGCTCCCATCACCTGAGAGCGTTAGTTAGTTAAACTTGTAACATCAGGTTGAAATTAGCAAGGACAAGATTTTCCTGGCTTTTAGTCACCTTCAAAGTGTGTATTTATCCTAGTGGAAGTCAAATATATTATTCTTCTTCTTCTCTCTTTTTTTTTAGAAAACCTGAGCGTTCAAACCCAACTTGTTCGTGCTTCTTTTTTTCAATTATTATTTTAAAAAAAAAACAACTTGAGGTTCGTATTAGCTTGTTCACAAATGTTTAGGTAACTATTGTGGGATATTGCTTTTGGTAGATTTATGTGCTGATAAAGCCTTGTTTGTTTTTTTCTTGTATTTTCTTTTTTGAGCTCCTTGACCAGGTGGATGCATTATCTTTGCTATATTTTTTCTAATAATTATACCTCTGTAATCTGTACTTGAAGGTTGTGTTGAATAACGCCACCGTGGAGACTGATAATCCAGATTTGCGTGATCGTGCTTATATATATTGGCGTCTTCTCTCAACTGATCCAGAGGTGTGCAAAACTCTGTCACATTTGATTTTTCTTTTCCTTTCTTTTTTGGTTTCCTAAGACTCCCAGTGACTTGTGGTGTTGTTTGGATGTCAAATTCAACTGCTCTATCCGCTTAAAGTTCCAAAACCACCATACTGTGTTTGAAATAGTTAATATCCAGTATTTCTAAGCACAATTTGCCAACCATGCTCTCATATTGATGACTTGGGCAATTATGTATTATATTGTTAGATTCTTTGCGAAGTTGATCATCCGATGATATAATCACGAGTTTTTCAAATCTCAGGCAGCGAAGGATGTTGTGCTAGCTGAAAAGCCTGTGATTAGTGATGACTCGAACCAGTTGGATCCTTCTTTGCTAGATGAGCTTTTAGCAAACATTGCCACCTTGTCTTCTGTATATCACAAGCCACCAGAAGCATTTGTGACTCGTGTAAAGACGGCACAGAGATCAGAGGAAGATGAGTATGCGGATGGAAGTGAAGTAGAGGACTCTGAGACACCTTCCCATGCAGTTGAAAACAGTCCACCTCCACCTGGCAAGCAACCTGGAGTTTCTCCAGCTCCACCTGCAGCTCCTGCACCTGAGCCTAATTTGCTCGATTTTGGCGATGATTCAGTTGATGCTGGGTATGTACATTTTTCTTGTCACTAATTACGTTCGAAACTGAATAAACAGCCTAAAATTTTCTTACGCTGTACATGGAACACAAACTTTGGCATTTCTATTATAACTTGTATATTGTGAATTTGCAGAAAGACTGCAACCAACATTTTGCATCTTTTTTAGTTGCTCATTTCCAGAATGATTTCTGACTAGCTATTTTTATCTGCAGTCCTCCCTTGCCAGTTCTATTATCAGCTGCTACTGCTGAGGGATTACAAATTAGCGGACAGCTCGTACGTAGAGATGGACAAATATTCTACAGCATGTTGTTTGAGAACAATACCCAGATTGCCCTTGATGGATTTATGATTCAATTCAACAAGAATACTTTTGGCCTTGCTGCTGGTGGACCATTGCAGGTGGTTTTTATAATATTATCATGAATGGCATTGTGCTTTCCTGAAGAATTTGCACTGATATATCTTGTTCCACAAATGAATCAGTTTGCTCTTACTTGTAGGATCTATGTCTTGTATTAATATGAACATTCCATTTCTACCAGGTTCCCCAATTGCAACCTGGCACATCTGCAAATGCTCTGTTGCCTATGGTTCTTTTCCAGAATGTTTCACCCAATCCTCCAAGCTCAGTTCTGCAAGTTGCTGTGAAAAATAATCAACAACGTGTATGGTACTTCAACGACCAAATCCCTTTTCTGATATTTTTTGGCGAGGATGGCAGAATGGAGCGTGGCGTCTTCCTTGAAGTAAGAAAATTTTTAATCGTTAGCTCATTTTAACATCTATAGCACCTTGTCTGAAAAAAATTATGTTCTTAAAGTGGACATTACTCCTCCCTTGTCTGGACTGAGTCTAGCCTCTTCGTTTGGGTAGAGAATGTAGGTTTTTACTGTAGTTTTACTGGATTTAGTTTATTTTGAGGCATCTGTTTAAGTTTTAAAGAAGAATTCTGGATTGAAACTCACTATCGGCAATGTGAGATTATGAGCAAGACTGTGTTGCTCTCATGGAACCTGTGTTCCAGATGCATTTGCAAAAACACTTGGATTCTGGTTTGTCAATCACCAACCAATGATATATGATTGTGTTAATGTCCCAAATTGTAGACGTGGAAATCATTGCCCGACTCAAATGAAGTTTCGAAGGAGTTTCCAGGGATGGTGATAAATAGCCTGCAAGTCATATTAGATCGATTGGCTGCTTCGAACATGTTCTTCATTGCCAAGCGCAAGAATGCAAACCAGGATGTGCTGTACCTTTCTGCAAAGATTCCGAGAGGAATTCCATTCCTGATAGAGGTAACTGCAGTTATTGGAGTACCTGGTGTGAAGTGTGCAATCAAGACACCCAGTCCAGAGATGGCGCCACTGTTCTTCCATAGCATTGAGGCTTTACTCAAGAGTTAAACCTAATGATGATTCTCCCTACCCCCCTCCCTCCCTCCCCCCCGGTATTCATTCATCTCTGCTCTGTAAAATCTGAAGCACAGAGGTTATACAGGTTGCCTTTCTCAATTCTACGCCTAGTTCATAGTCCAGTAGGTTATGATTTGTTTGTTTGAATCCATTATTAGTTTTCAATTTTGCACAGAATTTTGGCTAAATGTAAAACTTGTTCCTACCTTGAAATAGAAACCCTTATTTTATTTTTATTTTTTTTGGTTTAGAATTTCGATTCCATGATATCTAAAAGAATGTTTATGCAGCCATCTGTCAGTGTAGCTTGCTTGTTGTACATCTTGCCTCTTTTTGCAAGTTTTGCACGCAGTTTTACGATACAATACTATATGGTTGAAGCAAAATGTGTGAAAATGTTGGATCAAACAGAAGCATAGACAATGTTTATCCCTGGACAAAGGAAGGATGAAGCCGACACAAACAGATTGACATTGCTGGTTTTATAAGTTTGGTACCTTGGTAGGCAAGGAATGAAGAATATAAAAGTTTCTAGAGAAGATGTATATGTTCAGGAGTTCTGCTGGAGAAAACCCTTGATGGTCGTCCGGCCAAGCATACCGTGAGCGTTCAGGAGAGCCCTGGCAAGGGGACTACTGAGCAATCTGGAGAAAGATTGAATTAGCTGTTGACTGGTCTGCAAAGTCCAAGCGCGCAAACAAAGAATCAAAGATGCAGGTATACTTCACATGATCCCGCGGTGAGAGCTTAATCATCCTCAAGTTGGAAAAGTTCTTTCATTTTTGTTTTCTCGAACCCAGTGTGTGTGTGTGTGTGAAATCACTGCTTTGGCTAATCCAAATTCTACACGGGAGGGTCCCTTTCGGAAAATAACGATGTTTCATCAAGTAAGTAGTATTTTAGATGGCTTAAAACGGTTAGATTACTCCAGTACAAAAACACGGAGGGATGAATTCCTTGAATGAGGCGTATGAGGAGAGAAAACACTTGGGACGCGTTTACTTGAACTCTGGTTAAAAATGCAATGCATCAAAATCATTTACTGCATTCTAAGATACTTCCAATCAAGCCAAAAGATGCATCCCCTGACCCATTGTTGATTTCTAAGATTATGCATTTACTTCATTCCTCATATATATCCCAGGTACGATTTATCTCTAATATTTTGGCCTATTAACTAAGATAGTAAACAATAATGGCAGGAACTATAGGAAGGGAATTAATAAGAAACTTCGATTGTTTTGGGTCATTATCACCATCTCATGGATTATCTGCATTATTATGTATTTAATGCTCATAATTTGTTTGAGAAATGCACTTAAAATTTACTTAAAATGACTATTGATCTGCTTATTATATTCCTCTACAGCATATTATTTTTTGAAAATGCATTTATTAAGAGATTAGAGAAAAAAAAAAAGTTGGGTGTCAGTGTTCTTTGTGTTCTATCATGGATTGTTCCATGAATCTTCTTAAAATGTGCTCACTCCTTTTGTGCCTTTTGATCCCATGTTCTTCAAGTGAGCAGATTGATGACATATACAGAGTTGATAGTGTCACCATATATGATAGTCTGCCACCTTATGAGTGGCATTACCTGAAAGGTGTAGAAATCTGTCCGAATTTTGTCTAATCACTTTTGTTTTTCTGCATATTTTCTTTGTAAGAGGTTGCATCATAGGTAAGTATTGAAGTTGCATACGTTTCTGCACGGTGTCATTAAGTTGCACTTACATATTACTGAGTCAAATTGAAGCTGTTTGAAATGCAAGAAGTGGATTTTTTTTAATTTTTTTTTTCCCTTGGGACTCAATCAGAAGTCTGTTGACGAATGTAGATGCAAAGCTGCTTGGTTTATGCAAGTACTTACTCTGCTTGGTTTTACTTTTTGACAGTTGAGTTGCCGCAGTTCGTCACTTTTGCATCTCTTGAAGTAGAAGCAGCGGACTTTGTGAGCATTGGCTAGCATTCAATAGATAATATAAAGGATCCACTTATCGTTTTATTTAGTTTGGTTGCTTTTCAACAAGAATTGTATTTGGTCGTCCCAATTCGGCTGAACTAAAACTGTAGGCCAAAATGATCTGCAACAGGGCAAAAAGATGATAAAGATTGGTCATTCCGATAGTAACTCGCCCGTGTTATGCTTAAGGAAAGGCGGGTTTCCACTTCCAGACATTTCCAGTTTTGCTTCAGAAGTTCCAAGTAAGTGAGATACTTCTTGTAAAGAGACACACACATCCTTGGAATACAGTTCTTAAATATCATTTCCAAGGCTCTTTTTTGCATGTTCTGTAATTAAGCTTAAAATGCCTTCTTTCTTACTACCATTGTGATGAGTTTAGAGCTATGGTAGATTCACTGCACCCTATGAGTTTGTTCTGTTTCAGTTCCACCAGAAAAAAACTTCCGATATGCATGTTTTAAGCAACACATTTTTTCGGTGAATAATCAGCATTTCTACCAACATCTTTTTGTTCAATTATCATAATATGACTTCTGTAAGCCAGGGGGAAAAAATTCCTTAAAAAGCATCATATATGAACACAGGTCCCTCTGATGTAGGTTTCTGAGGCAAACTTCGGCTCGAATTCCCCCTCATGTCTCCTTTACTTAATGTGTTAAGAAAGAATGGCTTGTGACTTTTGCAGAGGTTGGCAACGTTCATAATGCTTCCAAGATCGAAAAAAATCTTTGGAGTGCAGGGCAATGCTATTTCATACGGGACAAAGTATCCATAGAGTTTATCAGCGAGCAGGTGTTTTTACTTTTCTTTCCATTTTCTCTTCGCTTCCTCATGTACATGCATTTCATTTAGAGAACTTTACTTTGCAGATATCGGCAGATGTTTCCTTCGTTGGTCTTTTCAATGGGATCGGGCCAATCCGAACACAAGCAAAGATGGTATGCATTACTTCACTTGATTCTTAAACATTCTAAAGAAATCAGTGCGTTCTAGGACTATAAAGATCTTGAGTGAAGTGTGTGTGCAAAATTTGCTTTCTCCGAACTGAACTTTCTCAGCTTGTAGTTTTCATCCCTGTCTGAAAAAGTGGTAACTTTTGCTCTAAGTTGTCTTTCTGCAGTTTGTAATTTACAGTTTTTAATACAACTTTTGCTAGTCTTTAGGAAGTTGAAACTTGATTGAACTTCCGATTCATATAGTGAAAATATAATTTCATTTTTTCTTTCAGATCAACACGGGACCAATTTTTGATATATCTACTACTATATATGTCAAGGATTGCAAGAACCAATCAAAGAGGGGACAGTTATGTAGCAAAAGTATAGAAGAGCTTTCATGCCACAATTCTTCTCTTTGTGAGCTTGGACAGAGTGATGAAAGCAGTAAAAACTATACTGGAGTTAGCGTAAGATGTTTAACCTGCAAGAAGATTTTCAAAGAATCAGACCTTCAAGATCTAGCTTCCAAGACATACTTCCTGGACATGCCACATCCAGTAGAAGAATTGATGATATCGGGGATTGATTTGAAGTCATCAGAAGCCCATCATACTGAGAAAATTGGCAATTCTTTGATGTGTTATGCTCGATATGGTGCAGTACCAGGGGACGTGTATGACTATGCAGTGGACTTGACCAAAATGCCGCTTAAGATCTCACTGCCTAAAATTGGAACCTGGTACTTTAACATGCAGCTGATTGATGAATTGAATGTTCAACTGAGAAGGTTGCAAAACAGTAGTGAACTTCGCTATTCAGTGGAATGGGATGTTGTTGAATGTCCTGATGGAAATGCTGGTCCTAATTGCTCTTGGCTGAGATATATGCTTCAGGTTTGTCAAAATGCTTTGTTTCTCAATGGGAAACTATGCACTTGTTTCTGTAAGAACTTGCATTTGCATATTCCAACTTGCAACAACATTATTTTGCTGATTTAGAATTCACATTTCAGTTGTTGTCCTTCCAAGCTTAGAACTGATTTTCTTTTGTGGATTCGCACGCTTTTAAGAAAGGAATTCTGCTCATTTATCATAATATTGGATCACTATTAAGCTTTGATACACCCTTTTTTTTCTCTTTCATTTTTCTCAATTATTCATTTTAAATTATGTACAAAAACTTTGGTCTTTCTTTATATGGGATTATCTACGTTCAAACGCAAGCTAGACAGTTCTTTATTAAGTTCATTGATTTTGCTTGGACAGGTTTCACAAAGAGACAGTTCAGATGGTTTTTTAGTTTCCTCGCCCAAGAACTTGAATGTTTCTGTAGAGCTGCATAATCTCCATTTGGAGCCTATGTTAAGTAATACTTCATATGGAATTGGAACGGAATCAGATTTTGCTTGGACTTACTTTGATATTGATGTCCCACGAGATGCTATCGGAAAGAACATACATATTGAGCTCATTGCCAATGTAAGCATAAACTATCAGCTCTTCATTAGATTTAATGGGCTACCATCTGAAAGCAATTGGGACTACTTCTACTTAAGCCAGAGTAGCCATAGTGATAATGGGTCATCCATGTTCAAGTTGTACAAAAGAAGCGAAAGACGGGTTGATGCCTATTTACTATATCCTAATGAAGGGCTCTGGACTCTTGGATTAATGCATCCAGTACAAAGTAATCCAAATTTGAGAACCGAATTATCTTTATCAGTTGAAAATTGCCCAAACCAGTGCTCTAATCATGGGAGTTGTGAATTCAATGGTGACCAGGGACCAACTGGCTTCAGGTACTATTTGATCAATGTTCAACTTTATCATCATCCTCAATTAGATTTTCTTAATCATTTTGATAGATACAACATATGGCACATAATAGTCACTTTTGTATCTATGGCAAACTAATAATTCTGAAATTAAGGATGCAGACTGAGAATCTCTCTTCTGCTATATTATTTACACATGACATAGTGAACCTTTTTACCAGGTACTATTTCTGCAAATGTGATGGTAGATTTGGTGGATTTGACTGCAGTGTGCAACTAGTGTCATTATCAGGTTCGAGCAGCCCCGCTCCTTTACCGCAAATTGCTTCTTAATATTCAATATGTTGATGCTGATGAATGGAAACCTAAAACGTTATAGTTGTTGCATCAAAGGCATCCTGATTCCTTGTGTATTTCTGAAGCCTTTCCTTCTTATTGTTTCTTCATGTTTGCCACAATGGAATGCGTTCATTAGTTTACTGTTTCATTGGTAAGCTGTTTTGTAATTTTTCTTTAGCACAAACACGTGCTGAAAACCAATGCAGGGCAAAGATGGCACGTTGCATTTCTTACAGCATCCAATGCAGCTGCACTACTTCCTGCAATTTTCGCCCTTCGCCAAAAGGTATATTTAAAACCTTCTAAAACATTTGTTAGGATCAAAAGGGAAATTTTTTGCAGATTGAGAAATTCTAATTAGTTTTAAAAGGTTGCCCACATTGAGATTTACTATCAGCTGGCCTTTCAATCTCATGCAGGCTTATGCAGAATGGATTGTCTTCATCTGCGGTGGAGTTTCTAGTGCTCTATATCATTCCTGCGATACCGGTAGCTGGTGCTCTCTTTCTTTTCATGTCTTACAGGTATTTGTCTTAAATTTCTCCATGCATTTAGTCCCGAGCGTTGGGGTTTAGTTCTGAACGTGGATATATCAAGGTTGACAAAATCAGTCACTTGTTTTTTAAATAAGTGAATCCGATGAGCATTTATCATCTACAAGATCGTGGTTAGATTGTAGACTGATTTTCTTCTGATTTAGTTTTGTCTATTTTATCATTACTTGACTGGTGAATGAGTGAATACAATGAGCATTTATCATCGGTGTCAGGGATTAAAAACAATGGAACTGCCACCATCCCCCTTTTTCTTCTTTTACAATGAGATTGAGAACTGGCTTATGTTGTTGTCTGCTGCAGTTCATGGACTTCTGGCTCTCTTTCGTGGCGGTGCTAACCACCTTCCTTTACTTGGCCTTTGTTAGTGAAGTTGTGAGAAGACCAATACACACACTCTCCTTCATTGTTACAGCATTGCTATCTCTGAATGGCGTAACCAAGTACGTTAAAACAGTATACCACTTAGTATGAAAGTGCATGATTTCTCAATTAACTCGTTCCCATCCAACTGTAATTGCAGCTATAAGAATATTCCTCTTGTGGTAGCACTTGGAGCTTTCGTCATGCTTTGCGCATGGTCTTTGGAGGTCTTCGGCTCATGTAGATCCTCTTCATTGTCTTTACCAATTTCCATTGCAAACACACAACATAGGTATGCCAAATTGTCGATGAATGCGCTATTGAATCACACAACAAAGAGAAATGTTGCTAACCTTTTTTTTTTGTTGTTATGTAAATTTCATAGATTGGTTAAGGTCAAATCATGGTTCCCTGATCTTCTCAAGGCACTAAATAAGCGGTTCAAGTGGCGATTTGTGTTTGCTGGTCTCGTTACGCTTGGAATGGCAGCTTTAAGCCGGAACCTGGAAACCCCTGAAAGCTACTGGATTTGGCACAGGTAAAGTCTTATCTCTTAGCAAACTGTACTTCCATAGAATCAATAACAATATCTAAAGAACAGGTCGATCATTTCATTTGCAGTATATGGCATGTGAGCATTTATTCTTCGGCATTTTTCTTTCTGTGCTCAAGATCATCATCCACTCCGCAAAATGGCACTGAGGAAGCAACTGAAGATGATGACACTAGTTCACTTACCATTCAACAAACCAGCCACTGAATTTGTGTTACTATATATTCTTTCATTACACTAGTGCTGCTTTCAACCTAGTATAAATGGATAACCAACAATGGCACGACAATTATCTCAAAAAAAAAAAAAAAAACAACGGCACGGAAATTGTGCCTAATGTATTATTACCATAGGTCAAGAGTTCGAATTTTACCAACCGAGTACTGGCACGGAGCAACTGCCCTTGGTCTCTTTTTCGTTGCCATTCTGACCCTAATTTTGGTGTAGAATGAAACAAACAATGAACTACTATGTGAAGAGAGTAATTTTTATGGCTTTTTGTCCTTTGGATTGAGTAATTCAAAATACATCAAACTGTAAATGACAGAAATTTGGCATTCTTTTGTACTTTGTTCGTTATAATGTTAAGTGTAGGATTTCTAAGACAATTTGGGTCTATGTTGATACCATACCGATATTTTTTTCCCTTATCAAGTACAAATGAAAAATTTTACTAGTATTTGAGAGTAACAGTTCGAGTTGTCCTGTCATAATTTGAGGTGTCCTTTTATATGATTTACTATAAATTTCTTATGGCTACCTAATGACTAAACAAACTTTATTATGATGCTAATTACTGGCCGATACTGATGGAAAAACATTTACAGTACTCCCTCCGTCCCATAATTATTGTCTTTATTTTTAGTTCAAATTGTACTAAAAGTGACATCTCGAAGTGAACAATAATTTTATAATACTCTCTTCGTCCCATAATTATTGTCTTTATTTTTAGTTCAAATTGTACTAAAAGTGAGATCGCGAACTGGACAATAATTTTGGTACAAAGGGAGTATCTTTTAGAGGCAATTTCGGGGGTTTTTTTTTTCCTCTTAAATATCGTTGGTGCCAGAAATTGTATTTCAATTTTATTTTTGCAAAAACAAAGAAAGAAAACACACCAAAAGGCAAAAAGCCCCCATTTTGAAAGCAAAATATCTTCGTCTTCCTCGTCCCTTCACCGCTAGGGCTTTTTCCTGTTTTCTTCTTATTAAGGTCAGCTAAAACTCATCCTTCACTTTGTATGATCTCTTCAACGGTTACAAATTGTTTCACTTGAAAAGCTTTTAATTTATTTGTAAGATGGGCCTCTGTTTTTTCTTTTTTTTTTTTGAAGAATTTCAAAAAAAATATGGATTGTGGCGTAATGCATTTTCTTTCTTGGTGATTCTGTAATATGTTGCTTTTGAATGACATAAGAAAATCAGTGTAACCCAGACAAAATTGAACAGAATTTTTGTCTTTAGCACGAAGTTTTTAAAATTGAAAGTTTAATCGTTTTTCCCCTTTCCGAATTTGTTCCGTTATTGCTCATAGTTTCTCCCTAATGCATCTGGATTAATCTGCGAGCTAATCTTTTCGATTTATTTTTCGTTTTGTGGGGATTTTTTTCATGAATTGAATTGGCCAGTTTGCAATTCATTTTCTTGATGAGTTTGCGGGTTAACTTTTATGTTTACACAAAATTTTTGTACTCTTCTGTAAAAATGTTTGTTTTGATGACATTAAGCTTTTCTCCATTTGGTTTCGAAGATTTTAATTATTGGTTCTTTCTTTCTTTGCCTTATGTAGATGTCAGACCTCAGAGATGAAAGGTGAGTCAGTGAAGAATATGCAATTGGGCGCTTTTCTATATTTAAATTTGGTTTTCCTGTTTTAAGTTCTTATGCTTTTTTGCATCTTCAGGTCTACATCACCCCACGGCTCCTTGTCGCCGCGGCCAAGGGATCGACCTAGAGATCGTCGGTCAAGATCATTGCCAAGGTCTAGGAGGAGTCGTTCTAGGTACTGTATCACAATCCTTTTGATTTTACTTTTCACTTTGTTGTGATTTCTCTGCTCTGTCATTATTTCTGATTGTGTGTTTGATTTCGGTAGTTGTATATGCACATTGGTTTGAACAACAATTTGTGTCAAGTTTCATTGTTCTGAACTACTTGGTATTTTATCTGGAACTCATTGTTACATTAAATGACACTAAAGTCCTGCTGCCTCAGGAGCCATGATTCTGTTGATGTTACGAATCCCGGGAATAACCTTTATGTAACTGGCCTCTCCACAAGGGTTGACAATGGTGATCTTGAGAAGTTTTTTAACAAAGAAGGGAAGGTACGGTATTTGTACTGAAAGTTTTTCTAGTGTATATGGTAATATCTAGCTGAGTAGAAGAGGGCTGCCTGATTTTTACTATTTTCCCTATCTTGTGCGAGATAAAAGTAAATTCTAGTTGCTATCTTTCATCTGTTGAACTTCATTAATTTCATACTTCTTCATGGTTTTAGGTTGTTGAGTGCCAGCTTGTGACAGATCCTCGTACAAAAGAGTCTCGTGGGTTTGCTTTTATCACTATGGAAACAAATGAGGATGCAGAACGATGTATCAAGCACCTCAATCGTTCTGTGCTTGAAGGTCGTCTGATTACTGTGGAGAAGGTATTTCCTATTTACCCCAAGGGAGAGTCTCTTCCTTCCCCTCAAAATGTGACTGAAATGTTTTAATATGAGTTATGCTTATGTTCAGAGATGTTGCCTGGTAAATTTTTGGCAGCGGGTCTGGTCTGTGTAGCTCCATCGAATTCGAATTCTAAGCCCTAAAGTCTAAATCGTTGAACCTTATCACGACTTACAACACGCGCTCTTCACCGACGCTTGAAACTCTTCAAATCAACTCGATTATTTTGCAGAGGGTTGTATGCCTTCTATTGCTTTACATCATCAATTCATCAGTAACAGTTTCTGATATAGTAAACAATACTGGCTGCTTCAGTTTTTCTGGTTTTCCTTCACGTCTGCTTTTATCTCTGGAGGTTTGTGTCTTGCCCCTAAGCTCAAGAACCGGTTTATCCAATTGAGCGGTCTGAAAACTGTTATAAGATAGCTTGTTTCCTATTGTTTATGTGCTGTTCACTATTCTTATTTCGCGTATGGTTAACTTGTACTTCTCCCAATTTAAAAGAAAATAAGAAGTACAAATTGCTTAAGTTGTAAAATATGTTCATTCTTTTCTTTGAACTTTTTATAAGATGAGCAACACTCTATCGTTTGTACAGTGTATCCTATCTGTTCTTTGCGTTCTATCATTATCTAAAGCCTATAAAAGGCAGATCATTTTTTTTTGATTCGGAAGTTTGACCCGTGTTTTTATTTCTTGCATTTTGTGCATGCTTTTGTTATTTTGTAGGCTAAAAGGAAACGAGGTCGAACACCCACTCCTGGGCGGTATCAAGGTCTTCGAGGTCGACGAGGTATATTACTTTTCCTGTGTTTGATTGTGTGTGATGCGGGGTTTCATGCTCTTGGACAGTTTTGACAACCTGGTTTATATAGGGTATGGGCCTAGGCGTTCTCGTAGTCGATCGCCTCATCAACGCTACAGAGAACCCTATCGTAGGGACCGTCGAGAACGGTCACGCTCCCCTTATGGTCGGAGGCCTGATGATTCGTATGGGAGAAACAGAGACAGAGGCCGTTGGAGTTAAGGGGCTGTACGGGATCAAATTCAGAGTTTGGTTTCCTTTCAGTTTGCCATTGTAGGGAATTACTGATCAGTGACGTCTTTGTGAATGCACAAAAATGGTTGGTTTTTGGTTTTCCCTTCCATCTGAATTGCTTCGTAATGTACTAAACACATAATTCGTGTCTGCTAAAATAGAATGCTATCCAGTCGTGTCTGGAATTATTTTATGCTGGGAGCCATAATTCCATTCTTTTTTTTTTTTTTTTAACAATCCACAAGTAGGCTATATGAGAGAGGCAGGCATGGATTAGTTTGATGTTATTGGTAATCTTAAAACACAATTCAAATGGTAAAGTTGGCATGTTTTAACTGCTGTCCATTAATTCAACAGAAATGTTGCCACATTCCCAATGATAATCATATTCTTGTGTAGTCGAATCGCAAGATTATTAATCATAATGATGAAGTAGTATGTATATGATGAAAGGATTGAAACCGAATGCCAAATGGGGAAGGAAAAAAAAAATAAAAATCGATTCATTATTGATTAAAGATGTTTGGGCGGTTAAAGAAGGATTTCGCAAACTTCTAAAAGTCAGAACCGTAATTTTCCCAAAATACGGGGGGGGATTCCGTGATAATCACTTATCCTAATACTACACAGTAGTAGTATTACTAATAAATGCAGAGCATGTGGGGAGTGGGTCCGACCTGGAAATCCTCCAATAATTCATTTTTGAAAGCTAGAGCCGGAAGGCGGGCGTTTTTCATTTTTCATTTTTTTATATTGAGAAAAAAAAAAAGCTTCTTCACACTGGTTTCGTGCGCGCCAGCTGCCTCGAGAAAAGAGCGGACTCCAAATCAAAATTTCAAATTTTATTCATAGAATTTTTTCCATACGTACGTACGCGGGAACAGGTGACGTACTACAACACTACACCCTCTCTCTACAATTTCCACTTCTTTTAGAGGGAAATTTTTAATTTTCAAGAAGCAGACAAAAAGAACAAAAATCCCAAAAATTTGTTTTTCTTTTTTTTTTTTTTAAATTCAATTGCAGTGATTAAAAAGAAGAGAAATATTAATTTAATGATGATTTTGTCTAAAACATCGCGGCAATAAATTACATGAAAATATTACATATATATAATATGTCAAACTATTTTGCATTTTAGTTTTTTAGATAGTAAATTATACTATTTATTTAAGCAAAGGCGGCAAGGTTAAATTCTGATCTGTCTCTTGTGATTTTGGAAACAGTTACTAATATTTTATTTTTTTGGGTTGGGTGGAATAATGTTAGGATAAGATCCGACACAGTTCACCGACACGTGTGCATGGCCGTTACACCCCCAAAAGGCGTTATCATCCCATCTCCTTCTTTTTCTCCCATCGGCTCGGCTTTGTAGCTTGGCTACTTTTCTCTTTTTTTTAATAATTTAAACAAAAAAAAAATTCATTTTGTATTTTTCTTTGCCCATAAAGAAATCTTGGCTCCGTAATGAAAATCTAGTTTCACATTTTAACATGATAACATACTATATATTTGGATATACACACGCTAATTAACAAGAAGAGTTATCAAAATACTCCTCCCCATGTTATATTTCGGTGCTTTTCCATATACATACTATAATCGTGATTCCCAAATGGTAATCTTGATGTATAAGAACTCATTATATTGCTTATATTGGATTCATATACCATTTGAACTGTAGGGAAATTAACTATGTATTGTATTGCTATCAGGCATCGTCTACTCCACCATGTGCGCAGTCCCTAAAAAATAAGCATAAAACAAAATCTGATGATGATTTGAGATAAAATTATGATGAATTTAAGAAAATATATTGTATGTACTTATTGCATTATGAATTGATGAGATGGGATGGATCTGGACCGTGAATGTAGTGGTCGAAAATGTATAGACAGCTGATTTGATACATTATACGGGTCCACGGAATTTGGTGGAATTAATGAAAACCTTTTCACTTCAGGTCTTGCAGAATTACTCATGGTACTTACTATATAGGAAAAAATGGTGTTCTTAACTAAAACTTTTCCCTAGTCGTCAATTTTATCCAATAAATTTTCAATTAGCCAACTTTACTCTAATTTTTGAAATTCTCGCCAATTTTGTTCAATCGTGTCATTTTCCGTCCAAGTTAACGGATTTCCGTTAATTTATTAATAAAATAATCAATTTAATTACAAAAACATCCCAATTATTTTTTTAAAATATAAAAATAACCCCTGAATTATATAAAAATAATAAAACAGTCTATTTTTAATTTTTTATTTTATTTTTCTCTATTTCATTCTATTTCTATTTAATACTTTTAATGACCATAAAATTATAATATATGATCTTTAAAGAAATATTTATTTATTTTCATACTCTACCATAAAAATTAATCTTTATATAGTTGTAACACATGATTGTATTTGTATAAATATATTAATTTTTTTAATAATACAGTTTAACAGTAACAATAATATTTTTCTGATTCATTTTATTCTTCTGAATATAAAGATTAAAAACATTTAACTAAAACTAATACCAAAAATAAAATATTTAGCTCAGATAACGAAATAATTTCTTAGTATATTTTAGTTGGGTCCACTGGGGTGATTTTTTTTTTGAAAAAAAAAGAAGAAAAATATTGTCGTTACTATTAAACTATATTAATTATTAAAAAAAATTAATATATTTATATAAATACAAGACTAAAATCCAAAATTGGTATTTTACATAAGGCGATCTGCACATTTTGGTCCTCTACATCTACATCTATCTGTTTTGGTTTACTTTTATGTTCAATATATTTTTTTGGTCCTCTAACACTATTCAAAAAGTTTGACCCTTTCGGACGTCAGGTCAATAGGGGTATTTTTGTCTTTTATTCTAATATTTATTTTTCAGTAATTAAGAAATAAAATAATAATAAATTAAAATAAAATTATTTTTGATCTTTTAATTTAAAAGTATTTTATTTTAAATTAAAATTAATTTAAAATATTTTTGCTTATTATTTTAAATTAATAATAAAGTAGTTTAAAATAAAATTATAATTATTTTAAATTATTATTATTAATTAACAAAAATAAAATGCTTTATTATTATTAATTTTAGAATAAAATACTTTTAAATTTTATGGTCACTAAAAGTATTAAAGAAAAATAGAATGAAATAGAAAGAAATAATATAAAAATTAAAAATAGACTATTTAAATTTGTATATAATTTAGGAGTTATTTTTATATTTTTAAAAAATTATTGGGGTGTTTGTGTCATTAAATTGATTATTTTATTAATAAATTAACGGAGATCCGTTAACTTGGACGGAAAATAGCACGATTGGACAAAATTGGAAAAAATTCAAACATTGGAGTAAATAAGACTGATTGAAAATTTATTGGGTAAAATTGAAGTCGAGGGTAAAGTTTTTAGGAAATCCATTTATCCCTACATTTGTTTGGTGATTTGTGTTGCTTTTTCTTCCGAGGTTTACATTTCGAGATTTGCATAATTCTAGGCGACTGAGCTTAATCAACGACCTCACCAAAGCAAAGCGTTTTTGGCTTATTTTAGATAGGCAATATATTTGCTCGGAAATTCCGGGGTCCAACATCCAAGGGGTGAGTTTGTCTGACATGGAATTTGTGTTTGGTCGATATATCTCTAATCTCCGTCATTTTGAAGTTTGTACTCAAAATAATTATTTAATTTAAATTTTTATTTTTTAATACATATTATCTAAAAAAATAAAATTCTTAACTGGATAATCGTTTTGAGGATGAGAAAGTATGTCAAAAAATTACCATAAATATATCAATCAATCCATGATTAATTAGCTCGATGCTAGTTGACAAGAAAAATTATACGTATATCTTTGTAACCAGCTTACAATCTTAAAAATTTAAGTAGATAACCAGAATTATAATAATAATATTAGAGCATCTCCAACGCGTCCGCCTCCAACACATATGTCAACTTGGGTGGACGCATTGGTTTTAGCGGAGCGGGCTGGGTTAGAGAGCCCGCTCCGCTCTGGGCTTCTCCGCTATCCCTTCAAATTTGAAGGGGACTGTTTACCCACTGTATTGCGGGTGGACCTTTTTTTTTTTTTTGGCTTGTTTTTTAACTGAAAGTTGGGCTATTCTTTGAACTTTATATTGCTTGGGATTTTTTTTATTTTTTAATTTTGGACTGTAACCATTAACTTTTTAATAGTTAGATCTTCATTAATTTAATTATTATAATTTAATTACATATTTATTTTATTCTTAATTATTATTTAAGTGGTAGAATTAAAAACTAATAATCATAATTGTGATTTTAATGAGTGAATTTACGTCTTAATAGTAAATATATATGTATTTTAACATGGACTAAGAAACCATTGTCGATTTATTATTCAATCATAAGAAACATATTACTATTAATAAAATCATATAAAAAATAAACTACAAACAATCAACAAATACATTGTTTTGATTATTTATAAACTTAAATCATACAACATGAAAAAATAAAGGAAATCATTTAAACTCACAAAATCAAATAGACAATAACGATAAATTCGGTTGATAAAGTCAACCATTCATAAATTATTTAAAATTCTTAATGGATTCAGAATAATCTTCATTTAGACTTAAAATTGTTGGAAATCCTTGAGGGTGTCCCAAACATGATCAAACTTGAATCCATTTTTAAACTTGAACTTCTTCTTCTTCTTTTTAATAATTTAAATGTAATATTAGTAATGGTGTTTTATTATTATCATTGAGCCAAATGTTTTTGCTATTTTACTATTTGTAATTTTATTTAATTGACATAATATATGGTGAAAAAATTACAATTAATTAATTACATAAAAATTATGCAATTGAAATTTAATAATTAATATTGCTAATTATTATTTAAATTAATGATCATATGCGTAATTATAAAATTTTTGAAATGTAATTTATTTTAGTAATAGAATATAATAAAATACAAACAACAGAGGTTAATTTTTTAATAAATAATAAATAATAAAATATACTGAAAATATTCCTTTTACAAGAATTTTATAGAGGGAATGGGTCGGAAATGTTGACACTGTTTAAATTGTAAAAGTAGTGAGATTTTACTGTTTCAACTCTAAATATAGAATTTAAAGGAGTTTTGGGTTGCAGATGCTCTTACAGTACAAAAGAAAAAGATTATCCCACTTTTTTTTTTTAAAAGATACCTGTTACAAGTATTATAATTTGAGACACTTAAACTATTACACAGGATCTACAACGACTCTAGTACTACACTACAACTACAACCATCTACCCTAATACTACACTACAACTACAATCATCTACCCTAGTACTACACTATAACTACAACTCCTGTGCAAGGCTTCTGTTGGTGCTCAAAGATGTGCAGATCTCCTACTTGCTGCAACTCGCGCGCTTTGTTTCATTCACCGGTATAGTTGCTTCGGGGGTTTGCTGCGCCAGCCAACCAAACTGGACTCCAACTGCATTTTCTCGGCACCTTTATGGAGTGAGGAGTTGACTAGGCCTTGTCACAATGCTCCCTGCAGTAAAAACACTTTAAAGCGTCTATGGTGTGACTCGAATCTGTGATCTTCAGGTTGAGTGGGTTTGTCCTTATCCACCGTGGCAACCCATGATTCCCGTTATCCCACATGTTGAGTTGATCACTCAATTACTGTTTTGTAGGTATAAGCATGCATATGATGATAAATGTCCCATCAATACGTTAGGATATGAGTAAATAACTGTAGAATCAGTGATGAGATGGTACTGCACTGAGACACAATCATTGTTTGGTGAAAGTTTCATCAAAAGAAATTAAAAGAATCATTCTGGTTTTTGGTCCAATTTCCCCCAAACATTTATACTATACACATTCTGATGCATTAATTAACCACGTGGGTTAGGGGTTGAGATGGAAAATTATTGCAACAAAAGATTCAAGAACCCAATCTGTACCTTTCAAGTTTCAATCACCATTGTATTGTTTCAAATGTTTCACGGAAATAGTTTGATTTTCCAACACAAAATTTTCAGGTTAGAAAACAGAATTATGCAAGCTAGTAGCTTACAATTTCAAGAAAGGGGGCAAAATAAGTCGTACAGTTTCAATATGAGTTTTCATCATATTTCTGACCAACTCGTGTCTGATTTTTGTGATCATATAAATTTGATCAAAACAACGTTACTACTATTATCGTGGATATGACAAACGAGAAATATTGTTTCGAATACTTTCCTTTATCTGTGAATTTTGAAAATTTGGTAATTGAATGTTTCACTATCAATCATAGTTGTAACTTGCATTAATTTATTATCTGAGATCTTTCAAACCAACATGTTACATGTATGTCCCGAAATGGATAGTCTCATTTGTTATACTTATTAATAAAATACTACTCATTATTTTGGAACGAAATAATACTATCTTTTCTTTCTTCTTCTTCTTCTTCTTTTTTTTTTTGCCATCAAGTAATGAATTTGAATTGTTCTTAATTAAATTCCTCACTATAAACTTAACTTACTGCGACATGTATAAGATGATTTTTTTTTTTGTCTTTCTTTATCCTAAAATGATTATTATTTGTGCGATACTAAAAGAAACTGAATTAAACAATCATTGCATTACGGATTGATAGAGTGAAAAAGTTTGGCCTTAATGTATTGTGAAAAATTTTGACAAGTCCGACACTACTACATCCATTAATTCAATACTTTTTTACTTAATATTTTTAAATGAAAGATTTTAAAATAAGTGAATAATTCACGTTAATTATTAGTGTCAACCTCTGAATTATCATTTTATGTCATTTCTTTTCATTTTGTGTCATTATCCAAAAAAAAAAAAAGACAAGGGGAAAAAAACTAGGAAAAGCCGACTGAGCCGCGGATTGATTAAGCTTTAAGCCAAACGGCTCACTATCTGGAGCCGGAAGCCAGCAGTACTTTTGAAACCGGTTTCAAAAACAGAGAGAGGCCAATAATAAGCAAGAAGCAAAGCAGTAATCATAAAAATAAAAGAGGAAAAAGGGAAAATTGGGAGTCTGAGGAGAGAGATGAAATTGATGATGGAGGAGGTAATGGCGACCGTACCAATTGTGGGTCTGTGTTCATGATTCAGAGAGCAGGTTCGTAGGACTCTACTTCACTAAAAAAAAAAAAAATACCCACATTTGCAGACACAGCAAAAAAACAGAGTGATTTTTATATAGAGAGAGAGAGAGAGAAAGAAACAGGGGAAAGCAAGTTAACAAGTCGTTTGCATTCTATCCATGGCAGTTGGTAAGCATATCCTTTATGATTTTTAATGATTTCTACTCCCTTTTCATTCTTCTTTCAGGAGATTAATCCTTTTCTGGGTTTTGTTTCCTTGATGAAAATTTTCCAACCCCACTTCAAAATTTTGAATTTCAAAGCTGCATTCTTGAGAGTTTTTTGAAACTGAGTTTGTTGCATTTTGATTTGTTTGTATCAGTAAATTTTGTTTTGCTTTCTTATTTTTCGAGTAAAAAGGGATGCAAACCGTTTCTAAATTTCCGGTTCCCTTTTATGGCTGCAAGTGAAAATTCTAGTGCTTGAATTTTAAATGTCCGTAGTGTTTGGAAATTGCAGTTTTTTCCAGTACGGATCATCTGACTCAAATTGTTTTTGGTGTTGGGAATCCAGCCTTGATGATTTAAAAGAGAGGATCTTAATTTAATAAGTTACTGATAGATGAGGTTCTTATAATGATTGATGTAGTACATTTCAGTTAAAATAATAAGAACTACATCTTAATCCCAGCATTTAATATTGATATAATTTAAGATCTATGATTGAGTGATTGAGTCTAATTGGACAAAATTGGTATCTTCTTCGTCCAGACTGTAATGAAGATGATGTTGCCCTTTTTTGCATCTGTTGTTTATGCTGTCTTTTTCTTCAAAATTTACAAAAGCTATAATTTAAATTTCAAAACATACTGTGTGGGTGTGTGCAAAATAGTGTATATTTTTTTTTGCGATGATACAGTGGTCACCTTCAATAGTAGTAGTAATGAAGACAAGTCCTGAAGCCCGTGAACTTGAAGGGATTCATTAATTTAATGCTTTTTAATTGGTGGGTTAATGAGTAGAGCATTGCTACAGACTGACGCCCGGAATAACTGCATACTTTTTTGTTTCTCTCTCTTTCTTTCTTTTTTCTGAACTGTTCATGATTGGTCTGATGGATTTTATATGAAATCATTTTTGTTTATTGCAACCCAGAAATTTATTCTCTCTTTTCTTTTTTCCCCTTTTCAGGATTTCAATTTCAATACTGGACTTTGCTGCCAATGACATGATCACTCCTTACACTCAGAGTTGACAAACCCGGGAATCTTTCACTTTGCCAATTGATCAATTTAGTTATAATGTCTGCTTTTACCTGAAAGAAACTAGGATTTGGCCGATAAAATTTCTGTAAGAAAGTTGTAGAGGTGGAAGGGGGTGATGAATTTAAGTAGCTTGTTCTTCAGTTGGATCCAGTAGATCATTGTTTCTAGTTGAATTTTTGGTGTTGGGTAGATTATTCAGAGAGGAAATGCTGCGGACTGAGCTGTGTTCGGCACGAATTCTATCGCCCTTTCGGGATGAAAGTGGTGATGATGAATTGACTGTTCTTCCTAGGCACACTAAAGTCGTCGTCACTGGAAACAACAGAACCAAGAGTGTTTTGGTTGGTCTTCAAGGTGTTGTCAAGAAAGCTGTTGGACTTGGTGGTTGGCATTGGCTGGTATGATCACTAACCATTTCATAGCATCATGATTATTCTTGAATTTTGTTGTTCCAAGTTTCTTCTGAGTTCTGACTATAATGGTTGTTCTTCTCATTGTCCTTTTCGGCACTGAATTCTTTTTCCCCTGGAGTCTCCCAATTGTTTGTAACCCACATGTTTACATGACCAATCTGGAATAATTTGGAAAAATAATCACGGTACCGTATGGGTTTTCTGGATTAGTCAACAGCAACTAACCAGAAATACTGAATTGATTTCAAATTAAGTTTCTTTGTTTCCTGATATTAACCATATTCATATCTTTGGTCCTGCTTTTGAACTTTGATGCTTGTATACCGATGCAATTTGAGTTCTGGTTAGTATAAGAAGATTGCTTGCCCAAGCGAATATATTTGTTTTCTTGTGTATCTCTGAACATGTGTTTAATTAACATTCGTCTACTCCTAAAAGAAAATTCTTCTGGGAAAGGTTGATGATACATGAGATTCTTTTCTCCTTTTCTTTTTCTTATTTTTGTGGCCTATGGAAAAGGTCACATATTATGAATATGGATTGAATTCGCCAGATAAAAAGAAAAAGAGGGGGAAGAATCTCTGTTTTTGTGTGTTATGTCAGCAGAGCTGATACTTCATTCTTATCCAGCTATCACCACAGGGACAAAAATCACAAAGTTGTGTCTTTTGTGAAACTTTCCCTTTTGTCTTTTTTATTCCTTGAACAGTAGTTCTTGTCCATACTGATAAATTGTTTGATTCATGAAGGTTTTGAAGAATGGGGTTGAAGTCAAATTACAGAGGAATGCTTTGAGCGTGTTGGAACCTCCTACTGGTAATGAAGAAGATGACGAGTATGTTTTCAGTGACTCTACTAGTGGCTCTGATATGGGTGAAAAGGACACCCCTCATTTTTGTAAGTAAACCTTTACAAATTACAACTGGACTCTCTTGGCAACATTTTTCCCGAATTTTTACTAACCCTTTTAAGCCATCATGATTGTGTAAAGAAATGGCTTGTCAGTCCTTAAAGATTTCCGTTGTCGTGGCTTCTTTCTGGCTTATAAACCTTGTTTTCTGCAGCTGCTGGTATGCAGTTCAGCAAATTTGGAAAGCCTAGAGTTCGCTATGCAAGGCCATGGGTTCATTCTGCATCCACAAAGTCTGTCAATCGCAGCAGTTCACGAGAAATTCTATCTGATAACCATGCCACTCAACAGGTGAGTGTAAATCGAAGTCATTTTTTTTGCATGACCTCACTGAATTTAGCTAGATTCTGTCCTGTGTTAAGTGAAAATCTTTCCTTACAAACAATGTAGATATCTCCTCTATCAAAAGTAGCTTTGAGTTTTGATATGTTATGCAAACTAGTAGGGCACTCTCTAGGATTTCAGAATTCAGTTGGGGGGTAGTTCTCTGGTGGAGATTTGATGAGTGTTTGGTTATTGGTTCCTTGATATATATTACGACTGGAATTTGAGATTGGAAGGGAATTCTTTAATATCTCTCCTTTTGTTTCTTTGTAGCAACCGAGAATGATCATGACAAACTTGGGAACCGGCTCATTGTGGAGATATTTTCAGAGCTATAAACTGGTGAGTTTTCGACATATTTTCCATTTCCAATTTTTCACTCGTCTATTCAATTTTGGATTGCAGTATCTATCTTTGAACTAATCATTTGCCTAAACATTTTGTAATGCAGGCAAGCATTAACCCTAACCCCCCAAAGGAACAGCTAGTTAAGATTGTGCAGCAGCACTTTTCTTCTCAGGTTGGTTTGCTTTCTTCCCACTTACATTAACGCGAAAACATGATCTAACACGACCCCATAAATTGTATCTGCTGATGCATCATTTCGGTTTTTGTTTCAACAGCGAGTTGATGAGGTACAGGTGGTTGTGGATTTCGTCCGTGCAGCAAAGAGATTAAGAACTGTTGATGCACATTGAGTTGGATACTGATCGTAATAGAATTGACTACAACTCGGTTGCTGTAATATATAAGTATATAGTGGTGATCCTTTTAACTTAATCTTTCAGCTCTGATCATAGACTGCTAATGTTGTCTCTAATGTAATGGACTCTGGAATTGTTTGGTAGGCTGTGCAGCTAATGCATCCAAGCATCTCTATTTAACCATTTTGTTACACAATGTAAGTGCAGTAGCTCTTTTTGAGATTTGTTTAATGTCCAAGATTTATCCGCTCACCAAAACATGCTGATTTTTCTTTTCTTATAACCGTGATCGGAGTAAAGGATGTTGCATTTGCTCTTAAGATACTACAAATTTAGGGGGATGTAATATTTGTCGGTGATATTTGAATCTTCGTAAAGAGTATATATTGTTACTGGTGAGATTCGAACTTCCGAAATAACAAATTGGGAATGGGGATTTTTTTGCTTCAGGAAAACCAGGCTGGCAAGTAAAGAGAAAGGGTCACCGGAAGTTATTAATGTTGGGTGGAAAAGACATTGATGTGAGTGAGGAAATAGAAGGATGACAATAAACAGAATGCTAATAAATTTCCACCAAACATGTGATTTTCTTTTTACCAACTTTTCAAAAAAATCCTTATCAAAAAATAGATAACAAAGGAAATGGCCAACAAAGAAAACCAAAGGAGCAATGACAATACGTTAAAATGAAGTGCCAAACAGCCCAAACGTTGGGCCCGACGAAGATTTTGTCGAAAACTTTTGGTTGACTGCTGAGATTTGGTTCATGAGTCATAAGTTCCCGGGTTTTGAATTGGACCCACCAGAACTAATTGTTAATTTTCACAACCATGATTCAAATTCAACTTGTCAAACGAAGTCTCTTCCTTTGTAAACAGTAACGTCTGTTATAGAATTAAGGCGTTACTTCAACTCAATTGGCAAGTGTTGTTAAGGCATAAGAAGATGGCATAATGAATCCGCGGATGCTTAGCAAAATTTGGACTCTCTAACTCAGTTGAGAAACATATTTTGGCAACACCTCTTTCTAAAATTAAGAAGAATGTAGAACTAGATAGGGCCTCTTCATCCCGACCAATTCAGGATGGTATGTAATTAAGTTATACGCTTCCCTTCTATACAAAAAAAAATTAAATTAAATTAAATCAAATTCAATAGAAAAAAAACTTAAATCCATGGTGCTACAATATGATGAATCACTTGTTTATTTCACTAAACAGATAGATCACTCCACAATGACTGCAAACAAAACGTTCTGTATTATGCTCATCGTTCAACCAATTTGCGAAAGGATCATTGGATACCTGCTTGTTATATTGATGGTAATTGCGATTTTAAGCCAAACTAGATTATAAGGGGGAAAAAAAAATCGTTGGCATTGACTCTAGTTTATATGGTTTTGTCATTTCTTTTCATTTTATTCGGATACTCCTCTGTTTCTCCTGCTTCTCTATTAACGTTTTGAGGTGGGAATTGTTAAAATGCTATCTTTTTGAGGCGTGTTAAAGGCCATCAGGAAAAAGATAAAGACCTTCGTAAAAAAGATAATTCTGCCCTTTTCATTTTTTCATTCTAAAGCAAGTGATTTAAAATTTGAATTTGAAATTTAGAATATATTTTAATTACTATTTCACTAATTTTACTAAACAATTATAAAATATACTACCTTAATTAATAAAAAATATTATTTCGGTAATAACTAACTTGATTTTACCAAAATTTATTTACTAATTTAACAAATAATAATAAGAGAATTTTTTTTTTCTTTTTTTTTTTTAATCCTGAAAACTGGTCGGCCGACGGTGCTGCCGTCTGGCATTCCGCCGACCGACCGGCGTGCCGTTCCAAATGGGATAAGAAGAGGGAGGCACCGTCCCTCATGAATTCAGATGGTATGAACACCGTCTGAATTAAAACCAGACGGCAGAAACGCCGTCTGGTTAGGAAGCCTGGCAGAACGTCGTCTGTCGGGAGGGACGAGGGACGTGCCATCCCACTTACAATCAGACGGCATACGTGCCGTCTGAAATCATTCCAAACGGCACAGACGCCGTCTAGAAATTTGGCGGCCGGCAGCATTGGCGGCTATAGTCGGCCGCCGGTTTTTTTTCTTTTTAGTAATTATTATGTTTTAATTTTTTTTCTTTGAATAATTTTAATTAATTATTATAAAATTAAGTTAGTTATATTAGATAAATTAGTTTTGATGTATATGATTAAGTTAAAAAAAATTATAGTTTGATTGACTTTGTTAATAATTTCAATATTATTTAGTAATTATTTGAATTACTTTATTATTTAGTTTGATTAATTTTGTTAATAATTTGAATATTATTAGTAAAAGATTATATGCTTTATTAGTGAATAAAATGTTGTTGAATAATTGAAGTAGTGAAATAAAATATATTTCTGTAAATAATTCAATACATGTAGTGCGTTAATTAATATCATCTTTACGTCTAATTTTGTAGTTGGATTAGTGTATTTATTTAATTATTTAATTAAAAAACTACTTTAAATCTTGGAAATTAATTAAGTAATTTTTTTTAAAAAAAATAAGGAGAATGAATTAGTTTAGTTTGTTGTTAATAATCAACTACATGATATAATTTATTTTGTACCTTTGACAATATTAAAGCCCTTGAACGTTTTTGCCTTCTTCTCGGATCAAGTACTTTAAGTTATATTGTTAGTATAATTTAATTATTCAGATATGGTCAATTTTTCTTTCAAAAAAAAAAAAAAAAAAGGATGGCACAATCACCATCCTTATTACATTTGGCTGGCAATGTTAGAGGCCCATCAAGAGAAAGCCGCTAGGTTTGGCTGCCAATGAGAGATATTAGTAAAATTGGAAGTCAACTCTTGGTCAACGGCGGTCTTTATCTTTTTCCTATTGGGCTTTAAACTTCCAGATCTTTTATTGTTACGGACGACGATGAAGATCAAAATCAGTTTGGGTTTCTATGATGGACATGAAAGAAAAGCATACAAAAGGAAACGACAAGATTCACTTGGCATCATCATGTAACTCAACTTTAACTGACAATCTGAAGAGTAGAATTCACTGTGCATCATATGCCTGAGCTAGCAAAATCCAAAGCAAGTAACAATAAACCTAACTAATTCAATTCTATTTCCATTTGATACTGAAGAATTCTACTCCTGTATGACAGTTGCATCACTTGAACTGTATTTTCAGCATCAAACTACAGTCTCCATAAATGGAAGTTGATTCCATAAAAGTCACCTATACAAATGAACTACTAGTTTTTCATTTTGGCCCATCAACAACCTTGTCAACAAGGGTGTCCTGCGCTGGACGAACTGCTGGTGGATTGTATATCCCAAGAACTTGCAGAACCAAGAGCTATAGCACAAATAGCAACATACAAAAACTTACGAACGAGGGGAATATGTTAATGTCCAAGGAAATGACCTCAACTACACGCTCAAGTTGGTTCACACCTTAACAAACACCTCAAGAACTTAAGTATAAATGACCTCAACTAATGCAAAAACAAATAAACTCTCTTCCAAATTGGTGCAAATACACAGTATGTTCGCAAGTAGTAACCATTGCACATTAGGAGATCAAAATGATACACCCACATATAGTTGGGCTATAACTATGGTTGAATTATTATCAGCCACCCTTACACAGTTACACTAACCTCTGGATTTGGATCTAAGTCTCAAATCATTATAATGGCTATAAGTCTCAAATCATCTCTTCCCACTCGCATTTTGTCACATCCAAGTGAAAGACCTTAAAATTAGTAACCCCGTAACTCTGATCATCTTTCGGGTCAGGTCCAACACCGTCCCGAGTTATCAGTAACTTACCGCTTGATGATGATTCCACTAGATATGTACCTCTGTCGATAAATATTCTCTCTTGATTGATATTGAAATGAACACGGGCAACCTCTAGATCGGATGAGGATTCATCCCACACCCATAAATTGCCCTGCTGATCGACGGCATAACACTTTCCATTGTAGTAAATGACGCCCCCAAAAGGATGATACATATGGGTGTGGATCCTGTTCCAAACCCGGTCACCAGGCCTCCAAAACGCCAAGAATTCACCACCATTGTCAAAGGATTAGCTGATAGAGCCGCTCTCAATACAAACATAAAGTCGGAAAAATAATACGCAGGGTCTTCATTGGGTTCAAGGACAGAGTCTTCCAGAGCAGGGGATGAGGGTATATGGATTTGACAGTTGGGGAGTTGGATTTGAGAACCAGAAAGAGGGTTCAATAAATTAAGCTCCCCAGAACCCGGCTTCCATGCATCATTTACCCTTGGCCTCCGTGAGGGATAATCGAAAGGTAATCTTTCTTTTGGACAGACTGTAGAACTCACGTTCGTCGCTGTCTTGTTTATCCGCAAGCATAAGCAACGGAACCCTAGATGATGAATGGATAAAGTTATCCTTGCTTGTTATGGCTCGCCAAGAAGTACAAAATCCTCTAAAAGCCATGAAATCTTCCACCGACTCCACACGTTTAGCTATCTCTGCTAACATCTCGTGGAGAAGGTCCGACCAGTCTCGATTAGGTTCTTCCATTAATTCTGACCAAAACAGGAAAACAATATACAGAGATGGTAGTAGGATGAATTAAAAGAAACGGTAGAGGATTATGCCGAACATGAATTGTAAACTAGAAAATTGGAGCGATTGATTTTTATTGGGGTAAATCAGAAAGGATGCAGAGAACCAGAACAAATGGGCCATATATATATATATATCACACTGATAAGAAGCTATTCCCTACACCAGTTGGATCTGGCTTCGGGTAGGATTTGGTATTTAATTTTATTTAGGAAGATTGGAAGTTCATCATTTTACCCTCATTCTGTTTCTGTATAACCAAAGAAGGCAAACTTCAAACTTTTAACTTCAAAATTTTTATGAACTTTTTTTTTCCCCTTTCTTTTGTTCACCTTAATTTCATGCATCATTAGGCTTATATTCCGTATTTTTCTCTTCCCTCTTTTCTGGGTTTGAAATGGAAATGAATGAAAAAAAAATATAAGTGTGTGTGAGAGAGGGAGGCGTGGAGAGAAAACACTAGAAAGGAATACGGTACAATTTTTAGAATTCAGATACAGGAAAAGTTAACCACAATGAAGACATCAAAGTTGCACAATGCCTTTTGGCCAAAGTACGAGCAGAGATTTTGCTTCAAGTAGGCTCACATAGTGACTATTTTAATTTCAACATTTGATCAAGCTAATAGGGCCAAAGATGTTGGAATCTGTGGGGTTTTGGGGATTTTTGGGATCAGGACAATTTAAGTCCTTAATTGCTTTCGAGTTCCATTTCTCCTTTCTCAAAAGATTGTTCGAAC